TCGTTTTCAAAAATCCTCCAAACCAACGCGTGCCGGGCCTGGCTACGAAGTCCCCGCTGCAGCGTACTGTCAAGCTGGAAAGGCTTCAAAAAGGCACGCCATGGTGGTGTAATACACGAAACGGGGCGGTCGTCGACGGATATCCTTTACATGCGTGGGAAAAGTCGTCTAACTGTTCAGTAATTGTAGGCGATGGAATCTTATGTCAAGGTACCCTTACTTAAACTTCTTTATTTCGAGCATCTTTCAGACAAGTGGACAAACTACCGTTTGATATCGCCATCTTACTGCACTGTAGTCAATGAATTTCTTTTCATCTCAAAATCCTAGGTAAGCTCTGGATTTCGAAAGTGGATTGCGCAATTTGCTATTGCGTATACAACAACCAGAAGAAGAATACAGATCATTACATTATAGTGACGAACGTCAATTGACTTCATGCAGCATGCAGCTTCTTGCTGAAAAGAGTTTTTACAGAAAACCTCAGCAGCTGTTGCTGTTCCAGTTTGAGAAGTGTAGCAGTATTGTAACAGACGTGTCACTACTTTCACATAAAAAACTTGGACAGTGATGTGCTTGCTCGCAGCTCGAACAAGCAACACTCAATCCAGAATGAGCGGCATTTGCGCAACTTCCAGAAGTTTAATGGAAGTACCACTTGGAGAACGCTCGTCTGGAGAGGCAGAGAAACTAGATGCAGATCAAATATGAAAGAAGAACAACGTTTGACAATGGATCTGCAATAGTGACGACCGCTGTTTTTTACAGCTGGATCCTACGAACGACACATGATAACATCAACGTTGTGACGATTTTGTGAAGAATTTCCTTCATAATATCTTTTTTATAATGATCTCAGATAACAACGTTTGTAATGCAGAGGATTTTTCTTTATCTACTATACAGTAAGAATGTTATCGACATGCTGTAATGAGCAATGTAATTCACCAGTGTCGGAAATTGAAGCTGTGTTTGACAATAAATTTTGGATTTTGGAGGAAAACACAGAAACAGTGAATTACTAAAAGAATTTATGAAGGAGCAAACAGTTGCAAAGAAATTATCAAGCAGGCTATCCAAATTGCGCCAGCGAACGGTTGCCTGCTGTCGAAAACAAAAACACAAACGTTCGTTCGATAATGCTAAACTTTTCAGTGATGTCAACAATGAAAAGGTGTCATTCTTTATGCCTTTCATATCTGATAAGTTAAGCACTGCGATTAGAATCTGCGGCCATAAAGTCGGCCTTCAAAATATGCTAAGAGTTGTCGAAGTCCCACTCCCAAATATTGAGCAGCTGGTGCCTAACAGAAGTCACGACCAGCCTGCTCGAAAACAGACTGCAATATATGCAGTTCTGACAAACGGGAGACTGCATGTGTCGTGGCGCTGTGTACTTGATATCCTGTAAACTGTGTGGGGAAGAAGATATCCTGTAAACTGTGTGGGGAAGAATGTATTGGAGAAACAGAAAGACCGCTGTATGTACGAATCAACGAACATTGGACGAGTAAGAAAACCGTGAGTGCCTACGCCTATGGGCGCACATCATGTACAGTGCCATCAGAACATAGAGTTTCAATTTAACATCACTATTCTTTTAAACAAACCGACATTGCAGCATGAAAAACTAAGAGGCTTGTTGGGTTACGTTCAGATGTCCTAAACTGAACAAAAAGGAAGAGAAAATGGCTATCAGTAGTGAGCTCGTCCATTTTTGTCATTGTATGGATTTGAGTCTGGCCTTAAAAGGGAACCTCATTCAATCACAAGAGTTGGCATATAATGGGGTACTTTTCCGTTATCCGGACCCATTTTTTCAATAAGCTCTCATAAAGTACGTTCTTCAATCTAAGAACAATTTTTTATGGATTCCACGAGGACTGCCTTCTTGCCACGTGTCAGAAAAATATTAACACGTTCTGGTCCATTTTGACATGTTTTTTTCGAGACCACTTCCGGTGAGGTAAAAGAGCATTTGTGATCACCTAAAAGCTGTTTAATTGGTTTGTCTGAAAGCAAAACAATCTGATATTTATTTATATCAGAACATCTTCGTTTCAGCAACGATTCAGCATTGCCTTTTTCTTCAAACTTTTCGTCTTGCGAATTTAGCCAGACGAGACTATAAATGATGGCTTAAAGTTCCTTGCTATTGCTTGTTTTGTCATTTAGATGAAGGGATCCTAGTCCACTTCTCTACTCTTGGCAAGTCCAATCTGTTTAATTAGTAACAGAATGACATTATTATGATAAGAATGCTCATTTTTGATAGTTTAATCGAAAATGGGGTCATTATTGACTAATAAAGAGATTACACTTACGTCGCTAGATAGGGTAACTCAAACTCTTGGTTAAACCTGTTAAACATGTAGATGACATGTCAAATTTTTTTTTGACACGTGGCAGAAGGTTGACACTCCTTCCTGTGAAGTCGGGACCAAACATGGTACGAGGAAAGAAGCAATATACTTCTTTGAAAAAATGGGTCCGGATAACGGAAAAGTACCTATAATGGCCTGACTAAGGGCCGCATGCACTAACATCCCCGCGGGGAGGGGATCGCAGCTCAAAAGAAAGCTTTATATTTTGAAACTCCAGATACCTGGATTTCAGGTTTTGTACCTATCCGTAAGTATTCCTACTACCCTTCACTATGAACATGTTGAAGAGGAACGAGAAGCTGTACGAACGGCATTTTCCAGCTTTAGTATGATCCCTGATGATCCCTGGCGCTTTTCTTTAAAGTCATTTTTCTTTCTCCGAAGTTAACGAAAAACCTCCAAGTTGTGCAGATTATCTAAACCGACAGTGCTAAGCATGTTGCTGATAATAACAAATGTTGTTTTGAAGTCATGAAATTTTCGATGATCCACAGGTCTAAACTTGAGGTTTACCGTAAAATTCGACTTTTCAAGAACTCATTTGTTCTCATCAGCAACATGCTTAGCACTGTTGTGTTATATGTTCAGTACAACTTTGGAAGGTTTTCGTTAACTTCGGGGAAAGAAAAATGCTTCAAAGAAAAGCGCCGGGGATCATCAGGGATCATACAAAAGTTGGAAAATGCTGTTCGTACAGCTTCTCGCTCCTGTTCAACGTGTTCATAGTGAAGGGTAGTAGGAATACTTACGGATAGGTACACAATGTGAAATCCAGGTATCCGGAGTCTCGAAATATAAAGCTTTCTTTTAGACTGCGATCCCTCCCCAGCAGGGAGGTTAGTGCATGCGGCCCTAAGTGTCAGAGTGGTGGATACCCGCTTAAGGTGTATTGCTGAAGGTATGTCTACTCTTGGATCGTCGAATTTATTTTCTCACTTTCCAAGTCTTGACGAAGGCGACTCCCGCTAAAACGTCGACCTGTTTACTGGTGTTGTTGTATTGATTAACGGATAACAATCTTGGAAACGTTTACTGACTTACTAGAACTAATATACTGAACATAAAATGCCAAGATTCAAGGATGGTCGAGCATGGAGTATCATGACCTAATACCTAGTTTTTTTGTGCAATGATATATCAACCAAAAAGTCTCTCGGTTCTAGAAAAGAAGAGGGGACGGGGGTTAGTGGGTACATTTATCGACAAAAGTTGTTTTTGGAAAAAAGTTGCACGGTTGATGTCCCTATTAGGTAGTTTAGTTCAGCATCAATGCCTGTTTCCTAAGCCCTTTATCAAAACACCTTCCCCATAGAGAAAATGCTTTTTCACCTTGTAGGAAAATTACAGGGCTTATCAAATTGAGTGTCGTTTGCACCAGCATCTCCATCTTCGCGCTGGGCTCTGCGTCTCTTCTGGGAACATGCTCCCATATTACTTCCAATCGATTGAGCTCCGCCTTTCCCACGCTCGCCCTGGGAAAGTGCTCAAAGAGCACGTCCCGCAGAAGAGACGCAGAGTTCTGCGCGAAGTTGGAGATGCTGGTGCAAACGACACTCAATTTAATAAGCCCTATAGCTTTCCAGTGACAATAATTTGAAAAATCTTGTATTCCAAACCTTTCGGCCACAGGATCAAAAAAGCTGAAACTTTTAAATCTTCATTCGTTCTTCCGCTGATTTTTTTCCGAGGGATTTACAACTAGAACAATTGTCTTGCTTTACAAATTAAGTTAATCGCTAAACATATAAACACATTGACGACCAAGCAGATGTGTGCCTTTTGTGAACAAAGCCTTTCAAAACCAAATAATATTTTGAAATAAATCACGCATGCTGTCATTCACACTATACCTAGAGTCGCTCTGAGAGGCTGACAAAAAAGATAAGGCTTATTCTACACACGCTGCAAAGAAGAACTCTTGGAGTGAATTCATGTCAAGATAGTCGTCATTTTAACAAAATACCAGTCTTGACACAGTATGTATGTCAAGCGCTCCCATGCGTGCGGTAGTCGTTGCTTGACACACCATGTGAGTCAAGCAGTCGTCAGTGTGTTAACAAACCTCCGAGGAAGTTAGGATTTCCAGTAAGGTCTCAAAAATAGAAAATCCTTCTGTTTTTCAACAAGTTTTTTTGTCCGTCTACGATGTCAGCGCCGAGAGCGCGATAAGTCGCGAAAGCTTTATTGCTCTTGTGTTTTTGTCGCTCAAGAATACAGAGCATTGGTGAAGTTGTAACTTGAGGACTGGAACTTCGCAAATACCCAGTATCACACCAACAGTGAAAAAGAGGCAAATTTGCTTACTTAGTGTCTTCATAAAAGCTGTAAAGAAACTACTGAACAGGAGAGAAAGAAGAAGTGGGTGGTTTATAGGTGCGTGTTTATTCTTGCGTAATATTTGCTAGGTTGAGATAGTCGTTATTGTCTCCAAGAAACTCTCGTGAACTCTTTTGCTGTGCTAAAATTTTGTCATAAATACGTCAATTACACGTCAATTACTCCTATTCGAAGCTCGAATGATGAGTAACAAGGTCGACGGGATTGACCCAAGAGAGTTGCATACCCTTTATTAACTACCATAAAAAATAAATTACAATTTTGTAGTATATTAATTTATTACGGTGCAGCGGAGCCAAGGTCTCCTTTTGTTGGTGAGGTTGCTGCCTAAAACATGCCATCATTTGCAAAAGGGATAAAATCAATTATTTTGGTATACCAAATTCTGTTGTTGACGATCACCGCGAAATAGCCAAAAGGAAGTTCCACTGGGCTTTGGCGTCTGAAGCACAATTTTGAGAATCATGACGTTCATACAATGGCGGACTGAAGAGTGTGGATGGTGCGGGGGCTCTCTCCCGAGAGCGAGTCGCAAAATTTTTGAAAGTTCCTCACATGGGTTATAAAAATGTGCATGTGACTTGTTCAAACTAGATAACAAATAATTGTGGAAAATTCTTTGAAAGATCAAATTAGACTTTAAAAAATTTTCGGACCGCCCTGATGTATATGAATCCCAACCTCTCTCTCCAAACGTGATTGTTGCTGTCTCAAAAATATGTTAACCATCTTGCCCAGTTGCTCACTGAATTCCGACATAAAAGGCTCCACTGCTCCTGGATGCGTTTACGATCTCTCCATGGGGATAATTCAAATGAAGTCCCACCTGTTAATTTTCCCCAAAGTTGACGCCAGTCTCGTTCAATTCCTGATGCAGCGAGTGTGCTCTTCATCTAAAGAAATTGAGACTTATCTTAGCATTTGTGATTGTCCGAAATCAGGTTTGATTAGACTGGATAATCAAGACATTGACTTGTCTTCAACCAGAGAAGATCTTACTTTTCTTAACCTGAGAAGAAGCATTAATCGGATAAGATTTCTCATGCAAACATTCTTCTTGTTTTTGATGTTAGTATGAACTAAAGCAAAATCTAGATAAACGGGTAGAAAGCGCAAACACAGGATGCATCCTTTATTGACAGTTAATTTGATAGCTACCACACCTACGCAATTTTGAACTCATTCAAAAAATCTTCATCACAGCATGTTGTATATTCCGAACTAGTTTCTAATGAGTAGAAAAACAGGACTACAAGGAAATTTGCCAGAAATTATCGAGTATGATCAAAAAATACCAAAATTATGTTAGACTTAAATCATTAATGAGAAGATTTTCAGTTGATTACAAATGAAAAATCGCCTGAATACCTGATGCCAGCTATCGCCTATCTGTGTCCAGGCTGCATCGTAGGGAGAGCGCGATACAGTTACTGGCTTGTTCGATCCGTATCCACTCTGTAATGCTTTCTGAAATCAATAAAGTTTATTGAAGCCGATTAGGAGTTTTTGGAGGCTTTTGGCTTCATTTCAATGGCAATTTTATTCATAAATATGGTGGTTGGTCTTCAAGGCGAGAACCACTTACTCCACCTCCACAAGCTTCGCTTAGGTAAAAAAAATTCATAAAGTTTTTGTGGAGCTGTTGGAGCGGTTACATTGTTCCATGTTAATGTTTCGACGTGAAAAAATTTAAGGTTGACTTTATTCTCTTATTTTTCTTTCAAAAAAGCACTTACAAAGTACTGGGCCTGATTGTAAATGGAAGTTGTGTACAATTGAGGCCTTGGAGTGTATTGCCACTTTTCATTGAAATTATTGTAGTTAGTTTGTACATAAGACTCCTTGTGATCCATTGGAATCAAAGTGGGTAGCTTTTCGGTACCCTGCAAAGGAGAGTTGCATGTGAGGACCAAAAGAAAATCATTCTTACCTTGATTTGTACTGGGTAAGAAGTGACAGGATATGAAGTTGATGTGAATGTAGGTGGAACGGTCGTAAACGTAAAAGTGATTGGTTCGTTGGTTATTCGTGCTAAGGAAATCAGATATAGTAACTTTAGAATTTTAAGAAAGATTACGGTTCTACCGTCGAATATCGGAACCATTCCAATACGGACTTGACGCTTTTCCTTTGGCAAAGAGAACACTGTTGCCGTTGTTGCCAAAAAAACGACACACCTTAAATCGTCCACTATATGTTACACAATTACTTGGATATTATATTTGGTTCAAATATCATCTTTTCCTTAAAATTGTGGGAGTCGGCTGGATTCGGGAGATCAATGTTTTATGCATCCGAGCGGAGAAATGTTCGAAAAATTTGCCATCCGCTCGAAAAAAAAACCAAAAAAAACCATTCTTATAATTTTTGAAGACTTCCTCAGTTATCCGATTTACTCGAAGAACAGCAAGGTGTTTTTTTGCAATTCTATAAGTTTGGGAGCCGGCAAGCATGGCCAAAAACTTTTCCGCTATTTCTTCCTTTACCAGTCTTGTCACTATTCCTTAGAGCTTCCTATCAAAAGGTTGTTAGACGTAAAGCAGTGAAAATAGGAAAGTTGTTGTGCTAATTACTGTGAAAACTTCACACCGTTGATCTCTCTAACTGCGCGTGGAAATATGATTTATTTGGAATAAGAATTTACTGAAGAATGAACCTAAACCGTTGGTTGGACGCACAAGATGTCGGTGTATGTACATAATATCAGAACACCCTTCATTAGTCTATGGTTCGTCGGCTACTTTAACTAAGATAAGCGCAGTTTAACATCAATCTTTTAGTGCTTGAGAACAATTCGTTCTCCAATAAATCTCCATATCCTAACCTTGGGATAACAATTAACGAATATGTCGCAAGGATCATTTTTGAGCTTTCGTGTATTTGCATTCCTCACGTAAAGGACCTTCTTCCGCATTACTAGGCGTGAAGTGCAGAGGACATAAGAGCAAATAATACCCGCAAGAGATCAATGAACAAATAATAATAATTGTCAATACTACAAATACAGAAGTTGCATTGTTTCAGAGAATAAAAGGCGTTCATCGTTTTCATATTGTTTTAGTTGAACCTACCTGAGCATTTTTTGTGTGGAGTTACTAATCCTTCTCGAAATTTCTGAAAAAATAGCATTACCCCGGCTAGTAATTGCTTCTGAGAATGAAGACGATTATATGTAAGGATATGAGAAGAGTCGCATTTTTCATTTCCTGATACTTTGACAGGGTTGCCATTGATCATGAAAATCCTCAAGGCAGAAAACAGAAATTTCTCAAATTTTTGCTTCGCTTTACTTTAGCTTCACCTCAAGCCTTTTCTTCTTTGTGACTCAACTTTTCTTCTTTGTAAGCTCAACATTTTTTTGAAATTTTTCACAAATTTAGTGGAAAACGTGGAGCAAAGACACTTCATCTTTTCAATAGTGCAAAAGAATGTTAGGTTATTCACTATTCAAGTATAGTTAAAACCCCCTTCTAAGACTGCAGAGACAGCATACAATGATCTATTCGATCGAGTCAGAAAATGATGAAATATGCGAACAATATTGTCAATCGAATACCGAGCAGAAGCTGCCGTCTAGCTAGAGATACAAGCAGAAGTGATTCCTATACGAAGACGACAAGGTGCGATCCTGTTCACTGAGGTGTTTGCTCGCAGATTTGCACGGTGTGAGGGCCGCTTCTCACCGCTGCGAACACTGGCTTCTGGCAAGGATTAGTCTATTTGCAGTCGAACACCAATTTCTTCCTATTCATCAGTTGTTTCAGGGAGCCCGCGTCCAGATTTGGAAAAAAGGGTTTGATTGGTGACCAGAAATCTAAGGTGATTCATCTTAGATGAGCGTTACACTCATCTCGAGGTGAAAAACACTCTGCGTTCAAAGCGTTATGTCCTCATAGTCTACATCTCTATGAATAATCTCATAGAAAAAACCTCGATGTGTTCAACTCAAGTCCAAGGTCACTACAAATGCCTTTGGCAGAATTGTGAAGGTCCATCGAAGGATTGGCGGTACTAGTAAAGCGTTAGGCCTTAGCCATACCTCACGCGATTTCAGTCGCCGCGGAATTTGACACTGCGACTCTCCATAGCTGGTCGTAAACGCACTTTACTTGGGCCAGACTTGCTGTGTTTGTTACAATTTACGGAATCTACGCACCCATGCATCTGAGAGCCTCGCATGCTTAATCTCTAGACATCTGGCAAATCGCCAAGTCGCGAGGATGTGGCGATTTCGCGAAATCGCGATAGGTCTGCCTTAGGCCTGACTGTTTATAACTCATCGACGCGCATTCTGAATGTGCAGCGGATAGGTCAATTTATCAATTCAAGAAATCTGTCCTTGCGCAGACCAGGCATCTGCGGTATGCCATGTTGGATTGCAGACATTTGGCAAACTGCCAGATCGTGAGCGATTGAAATCGTATGGGGTATGGCCAATTCCTTACGCCATCGTTGCCCGCAAGTTGCATATGCTTACCATGTAGTACTGTAGTCGTTGCGTACTGTAATCGGGGCACAAGCTGTGACAGCAGCATTCTACACTCAAATTACTTGAAAATTGGCATTTGCAGTTTTTTTGCCAATCAGTCATCCAAGCAAGCGTCAAACTTTACGCCAAGGAATTTACCCATAAATTTTAATTGTGCTATGCAACATAAGGATTACAGTTCATGCTGCTTCTATTTCTTTGCAAACCTTGCGAGTGCAGAGGGTCACATATGATGATAAATGCTAAATGAATATTGTGGATGTAAACAACCATTTGAACACTCCTCTCGGTTCAGCCCGACTAAAACCGCTTCCAAATCGAGAGTTTAGATCATCTGCTTACTGCATTTCTGCGCGAAGTGTGGAGTGGGGCACAAGCTCTGACAGCCAATCATTCTTGGCTCGTGCCAGATTCTGATACTTATGTCACAAAAAAGAACTCTTGGCAGATGATCCCTAAAAGATTCATTAGCCTAAAGTACGAAGTCTGCACGAGAGATTGAGCCTATTTCGTCTTTGTACCACTGATTATTTTTGCTCAAAGCATAATCACTTAAAGCAAAAAACGCAACAGTTTTGTTGAACAAGTTTTCGGAACCATATTATTGTTTGGCTGTTATCTGAAATTGTTTTCCAGTATGCAGGAGATCAAATACTCAAACTTTCTGAAGTTTCCAACCGATTATTAGTTTGTAAGGAAGGCAAAAAAAGTTACACGTTTTCTCACAAGAGATCCTTCATTCAAAAAAGTTGGAATAGATACAAGAATTATGTAAACAGAAACTGACTAATATGTGACACAACAACAGAACCGGGCTTGAAAAGGCATGAGTCAAGTCAACATCTTTGATGCAGAGGTATTTGGAAGAACAGAAAAAACTGTAACCGTCATTGTACATATTAGGCTGGTGCAAAATCAATGTATGTATATTATTGTGAAGTTTCTACACTTTTCAGAAAAAGTACTTCCCAACGCTATAACAAACACTGAAGCGATAAAAGAGGAATATTAGGCTGTTTAAGTTCTACCTTAGGCGTTGTAGACGCTTCACAAATAACCCACCTACAGGGCTGTGAATGTATGCTTTCCTCTCCGAATATTTGGGCCTTTAACTACGCAGATAAGAGGAATCTAGGGGCGCTAGGGGTGAAGTTTGCTCAGTTACGCCTGATGTATACTTATTTGCAGCCAAGATAGAATAAAGAGCTATTATGAATGTCTGGGGGGTGCGTGCAAGCGAGGGTGCGTGAGATTTTTCTGAGTAGAAGACTTGTTCTTTGCACTACTTGATAGTTTCAAAATTCGGCTTGGAACTTCATGGATCTAATTATGATTTTTGGAGATGTGTTGGTCATCTTGCACAGTCGTTTACTCCTCGAATATGCTGGTTTTTTTGAGTCCAAGCTTAACTGAAAAATGGAAAAAAATCATTTTTCAAAGTCAAAACCATGAGATGACCTGATACCAGAGACCAAAAAACAGAAGTTCCATTGTTTTTTTTTTGAAATAATGCAGTTTTTCAGGTCCTTGTAATTACAATGGAATTTTTTTCTCTCTTTGTACGATACTTGATACTCTGACGCTAGATAAGGACTATTTGATAAAAACAAAAACCGCGGAATCTTGATCACAAGCATGAAAACTTTCGTGGTAGCTTAGAAGCAGCCTCAGAATGGGCTCTAGCAAGGGCATGTAACTTCTCTCGCTGCTTACCAAAAAGAGATTTCTGTGAGGAAAAGCACTGAATGCGTTTGCAAAAACATGCATTGAATTTGCACCAACTCGTTATTACAAGAGCGATTAGAACTGAGAATTTGGCTCTTTGACTGTTGCTACAATTTTCGCCCGAGGACAGTGCACAATAACAGGCGTGTTGAGAGGAGTGCCAGCTCCACACAGGATCATATCATTACTCCTTGATGATGAGCTCTGCGCGGATGTCGTAACTGACGAACGTTTCAACTTTTTGATCTTTTTCAGTTGCTTCGCACACGGTTCTAGAAGTAGAATAATAAGCTAAACTCGATAACTGAAGAAGAACGTAATATTAGGTTGTCTCATAATTAATGCACGTTTTATGAATTTCAACCTCTAATCAAGATAACTCTTTTCCAAAACCATCTTTTTGAGCGAAATAAAAATCACTGCAAACAACAAATCTTCGACTATAGAACGCATGCTTTTGTTGGATCGCAGCCACTTTAAGAAAGATTTTATAGCTTAAAAAATTCCCAAACATTTTTCTACAACCTGTAATTTGAGAGAGCTTAACTTCCGCTTAAATGTACTAGGATCGCGCGGACTTTGCTCATTATACAGCCGATGGTCGGTTGTGCAATGGAGTTGAGTTTGAATTTTACGGCATATTTCTGTGCGAAAATTTTGCAAAAAAAACTGGAAGTACCCATTTTTTCAGTATTATGGAAAATCCAAAAAACTGCCTCTTTGGGATTTTTTTGAATTTTTTCTCTTCGAAAAAGCGATGAAATGCTGCCGTTTTCTTAGCATTAGTTGTACTAGGTCTAGCTACATGTACATAGCGAAATTTATACAGCCTCTTTTCGCTTGAGATTTTTATGCGGCTCAGATGGGCCTCAGCTACCAGCCAAGTTTGAGACAAGACTTCTCGGCTGGGAATTTTTCAACTCATACTGAACAGCGTTTTGTACCGCAAAGCTTCGCGATCATTACTCATATTTTTTTAAAGAAAATCTGTTTATTTTTCGTGGATTCAAGGCAAGGAAAGTGAAGGGAAAGAATTTCATATTTTAATCACTTGTCTTTGCAGGCATGAAACTTCAGCTTCAACAAAGATTTGCGAAAACGAAAGCATATGTTAGAAACTAGAGGAATCGGGCTTTCCGACACTGTAGGGGGTTTTGGAGAAAAATGTTTTCTCTTTGAAAATTAGCTCTCTCAATAAGAGGTTAGAAGAACGTGCATTAATTATGAGACAACCTAATATTATAACGTATTGGGGATGTCAACACCTTCGCAAACAAAGCGTATTTCTTCATCGTCGGCAGTCAAATCGTTGCCTGCCTTTCTTTTCTTCGCCGACCCCGTGGACATCCTGCAAAAATAAGTTTCATGAAGGTACTCCTAATGATAATGTCTCACGCTGAAGTCTCGGCAACGGCTCCATGCACAAATGGAGGTTTCCATGCAACGCCACGAATGTCTGGTGGATCTGAAGCGCCATATAATTTGCCAACCGCGCCTAAACAGTTCACTCTGACTGTTTTTCTTTCTAAAGAACTAGCTATAAGTTACAAGAAAATTGACATCCATATTTGCTTACACGAAATAATATTTTGGCCTTCATCCTGGGACTTGCGAGATTCAACGTTGGCTAGTTTACGTCGGACTTTTGATGGGGTAGTATCGTTAGTACTGAAACAGTTTGCAAAGAGATTACAGGTATGAACAGTCTAGATTGAATGCACAATCGACATATTCTCATTTGGAGTTCCAATCCAATTCTTTATTTCAGCGTGATTTCCTATTTCAAAGTCACCAATAAATCACGACTAGAGCTACCAGCGCAATTGGGCGTCCAGCAAATATATTCTTTTCCAGATATAAGGCCGGACCGTTGGCGCGAATTTGGGGACGCGCACCGATGAGAGCCTGCGCTGTACATGCACACCTTCGGAAAGAACCAGGATGTTGAAGAGGAAGCAGACAAGCAGACCGAAGCGTGACGCGAAATCCTAGCGACGCGGATCCCGCCATGCTAATTTTGGCCTGAATGGGGTTGGGACAAACTGTATGCGGTGTGATCTCCTCTCTTGACTATAACAAAATCAGCAGTAGCCTTTGCCATTGTTACTACGATTTCGTCGCCTGAACCATGCTCATAAACGGTTTGACCGAAACTTGCAATTACTTGGCAGCCAGATAGCTGGCGAAGGGCTGCTGTTTCGCACATCTTCCACACCCTTACAAAATCAGGTATATGGCACGTAATTGACAGTTAGAAGATGAAGAAAATGATGCGATGAACGAACATTTGTGAATGCATCTCCTCACTCTTCTCAGTGTCAGCGGTAATTGCAACGTTTGCATCGAGCATCTCATCCTAAACGAATATCTTTGACAATCTGGATTAATGCATTCTAATATGATTCACATGAATCTTTAACATGCATGCATGAATGTAATAAAAATAGTGATAAAAACAGAAAAGAGGGGTGGAGCAATAGGAGATCATTCCAATAGCCATGGTCAACCCTAGTCGTCTTCCATGCATACAGTCTTTCGTGACAAGTCAGCAACAGAAAAGTCAATTACCATCGGTTCCGGTGTTTTCGATTGTCCTGTCTCTCCTCTCCCAATGTCTGCACCAACACTAAAGACATCCAAAACAGTTGAATGTCAAAATTATAGAAAAGAATTAGATTCAGATAATACACCAGATATTAGATATTTTCCTGTGGATTAGATACCTGCTGCAAGCCACATGCTGATTTTCATTATCTCCTGATGATAGAGATAGAGGATCATCCATTTTTGAGCGCAATAAAGGTTTTTCACCCTTCGCATTTCCGACCAAAGTGAATTCCTCGGATAGATCCAATTGCATTTCATGGCCCTTAGTAAAGTTTGAGGTGCACTATAACAACAAAATAAACGACCAACGTACGTCAGCATTCATCTGTTGAGGAGCGGTCTCTGGTCCAACAGTCGCTAGCTCATGTTGCAGATTGCCATTGCATGAGCTTTCGGTTCCTACCGAAGCGTCTTCAACCGCATCGGAAAAAGTGGAGGGCTGAAAACCATGCAACAAAGATCAGAAAATTTACGCTTTGATTCTCGCTTCCACCAACCTTCCCCTTGTCGTGGCTGCTCCAAAACAAAGTTTTCATTAGAATGAATAATAATAAGTCCTGTATTCAATAGAAAGGCTGGTCACATCTTTACGGGCAGTGCTGCGTGTCAAAGCGATAGGGTCAAGGTAGGCATCCGTCAGATTTCGCTCAAAAGCGCTCAGAAGCGCCAAAGAGTGCGTATGTTTCTTCAATTTCTCATTTTCTTCTCATCTCTCCTTACACATATTCCGCGCTAGCCCATAAGCGCCAGCAAGTTCCCTTGACACGCAAGTGCTACCCTCGGAATGTGTGAGGAAGGGTGAAAGTTCAAAGAAATTTGGGAGCCTTGGGGTTTCGGGTGTCCCGTACGTCCCGCCTAGCTGATTGGTAGCCCAAAAAAGCTGCTAGGTCGTGGAAAAACCTGGGCTAGGTCGTGGAAAAACCTGGTTATTCTGCATTGACATTGAGCGAATGACCTTTCATTCAAAACGCAACAAATGAACAAGCGGGATGCCATGTAGAAAGCCATTATTCAATCAGTAAGAGCATATCTACAATTTGCTAAAACGGTCGCAAAGGTGGAGAAAAAGGAACCGCTCCAGGTATAGTTCTAGTGGTGTTCGTATAGGCTTGATAAGTACTTTCAAAGATTGTATTACAACATAATTATGTACGATATATCTTTTGACTAGAATCCGCCGCATGCGTGCGCTTCGCTTGAACAGAACTGTAGGTGTTGCTATGCATAGCAATTCGAAATTAGGACCCTGCCAGATCGCTGCAGCCAGTGAAGATCGACTGTCTCGCCGAACCACGACGGCAAGAGTCGCCAGGCGTTTGGGCCAGATGGAGCAAAGACTGTCTGCTTTTAGTGCGGGGATTCCTAGAAAAACCCCCTAGAACACCTCCCCGCCCCTAAGAGACTCCAAATTCTTGGCGCCTTTGATTACTTCCATCGCACCTTTCCTTGCTTGGCATTACGCCACACACTTACCACTAATCTTAGATTCATCAGCGAGAACAGCTTCTTGCGATAGTCTCCCATCCTCATGTCAAGGTAAAAAGTGCGGGGAATCTGGAACTCCCCAGGCACTTACAGAAGCAAAGGCTTTGCTGTCTCCTGATGCTGTCTCCTGACTGAATCCAAGTCGCCAAGATGGAAAGAATAAGCTAGAACCATATATAGTGCCTTGATGGCTTGCGAAAGAAAGCTATTACTTGGGATAGACAAGCTTTTATGATAAAAGAAAAGAAAACCAAGAAATCTTGCTGGGGACACTACTTTAGGAATGTTCCCCCCCCCCTCACTCGATATGTTGCAATCCAGCAAAATCTCATAACTCGAAACAAAGATCAACTAGTACGAAAATGCATGAAGGTGAGATAGAACCTAGAATGCTATAAAACAAAGCAAACTACATAACTCTCACCTCCTCGTCTTCATCCTGAAGTTCAGTAACAGATTCGAAAACATCATCACTTCGTTGTCGACCACGCAACCACGAAAATGGGTTTAGTGAACCAAGGACATTATTGAGAAGGCTCATTTTGACGAGCTACCTAAACCAATCTTTGCACTGAACTCATTGAAATCAGGAGATACATCGCAAGACGACAGAGGAAGGGTAAAGCACCATAATGCTCTGATCTCACAGGATTCCTTGATTAACGATTCACTCACTTAATGCTGTCTGTTATCGTGATGATGTCAGATAGTAAATCCCTCAACTACACCGTAGCCCCAACCTCATGGCATGGAGACTGGATTAGACCGTACAAAAAATACAGTATAAGGTGTGACTTTTGGGTTTTCTGATGCCGCAACCTTAGGGTTTAGCCTAACATTATCGCTGTTATTGGCGTCATTGATGTTACAGCTAATAGCGCTGCCGATACTAGTGTGAATTTTATCAGAGTTGCCCGTGTTACCTTTATCACTCTTAACACTGTTACAGTTGCTCGTTGCAATTGTCCCCTCCGTCGTTAAGGTGTTTCGCTTAAAAAAAGGCCTTCTAGCCTCATTTTTCGCTCGCGATCTCGATGAGGTGGCTAAAACCTCTGATAGACAGTAATCAAAACAAAGTAGCCACTAGAAAGCGGATCACAAACGATATTTGAGGATACAAGCTCACCGTGTGCGGAAACACTAATAATCACAGAAACAGCTGCAGTGAACAATTATAATACCGATAAGAACGGTGACAGTGGTGCACTGATAACCGCGGTCACAGCGATCATTTAACGCCAAACTGTAGGATAGTTTCCGGAGATTTTGAAAAAAAAAGGAAGAAAAGCATGACAAAGCAGAACGTAAAGTTCATCGGCTCCCAAATCACTGCGAAGGCGAAGATGTGGCAGCTCAAAGCGTGGCTGCCTTGATGGCGAGAGTCGGAAAACAATGCTCTAACGTGGAAGTTGACAAGTTTATTCACGTTAAAAAATATAATGTACAACGTAAAGCGTGCCCAACAGCAAAGATCTTGCGCGCCGGCAAAATTGACACTGGGTCATAGGGAACGTTCTGTGCAACCATGTGTATAAAGGCTACTGCACGACGAAGGCGAACATGCCTCAGAGCATTGGGTCGTGCGGGCGGGCTGCGAAGTAGCCCTTCCGTGCGTGCGGGCAGCCTAATTATAAGGGTCATTCGAGCCCCCGTGCGAGCGCGCCGCATGAGTTTAGGCATGCGAGCGGGCAACCATGTCTTTTCTGCGGCAGCGCGTAAAGGAACGCTGCCCAGACGCGCAATTACGGACTGTTTCAAAAAGAAAAGGCACGGTAATTGATGCGCAGATCTTCTTAACTTTCTCCTTTGAGATTGTTTTATAACAAAAGCTTCTATACTTGAATCTTCTCTAGCTTATGTAGGACTTCTCTTATGCTGTATTTGTCATCGTTTTGGATGCTATGCTGCAATAGTTTTATCGCCCTCCCATGCGTATTTCTTTTTCAATATTGATGCTAGAGCATTCTGGGATACTATGACCCCGTCTTTTTCCATGGTATTTTTGTTTGTTTGAGTTTTTTGTCATCCGTGTCATTCATTGATTGACCTTTGCCATAACTGACGTTTACCATAGAGACTTCGCACCTCATTTCGATGTGTGACATTCTGCCTACGCTCACTTGTGATGATCCGACGCTTTCTATAAATGGAACCCATAACATCGATTGCCACGAACACTCAATTAAATTTTCTACTACCTCAAGGTTCTATTGGACTACACGACAAGGTATGGTTCCTTGACTCGCTTGCCTTGATAATATGCCCAATTGTTTCAGCGGATACGAAGGATAGGTGTGATAGCACGACGTTTTATTCGAAGTGGTCCTACGACATTAATCAGAAAACCCTTCATTTCTAGATCCTCAAGGATGTCTTTATTGGATCACACAACGAGGTATGATAGCAATCTTATTTGTTCTAATAAGATGCGCAATTACTTTCAGCAAAATACAAATGGATAAAGGCTGAAGATCGAAGCAAAGGTGATTCCTTATATCACTGTTGGCGTGCTGTGTTTTGTTTGACAGTTTTATTTTTCAGAGCATGGAAAAAATAACTATTTTGGATGAAGGTTACCTTTAAGAAACGAGCGGAAACGCAGAATCTGAAGCAACCTTACGGACTATTGTTTTGTGTTATATTTGTATACTAGCTGGCTTACCCGGCTCCGCCGTATCCGGACCAAACTTGGCACACATACACTTCGGGCTCCGGCGGGTGTCACAGTCCACTTTTCGTTATCGATCGATGTCGATTTTACCGATTTTTATCGATTTTTTTGCAGAATTCACCTACAGGGCTAGGAGTTGGCACAGGGGGGAAGTGAGCATGGGGATTCCGAATACAATATTAGTTTCCAGAATTATCGATTACTTTTATTGATCTTATCGATTTTTTGTAAATTTTGACATGCGAGGCTGGGATTTTGCACAGGGGGTAATCGAGCATGCTGATTACGAACACAATATTAGTTTTCAGGATCGTCCATTACTTTTATCGGTTTTATCGATTTTTTTGTAAAGTTTGACCTGCGGGGCTGGGAGTTTGCACAGGGGGGTAATCGAGCATGCAGATTACGAATACAATATTAGTTTTCAAGATCATCCATTACTTTTATCGATTTTATCGATTTTTTGAAAATTCGAGCTAGGGGGCTGGAATTTGGCACAGGGGTGTAATAGCATGCTGATCACCCCCCTTGGGGATGATCAGCATGCTCGATTACCCCCCTGTGCCAACTCCCAGCCCCGTAGCTCAAACTTTGCAAAAAAATCGATAAAATCGATAAAAGTAATCGATAATCCTGAAAACCAATATTGTATTCGGAATCCCCATGCTCGATTACCCCCCTGTGCCAACTCCCAGCCCCGTAGGTGAACTCAGCAAAAAAATCGATAAAAATCGATAAAATCGATATCGATCGATGACGAAAAGTAGCCTATGACACCCGCCGGGGCCCGTAGTGTATGTGTGCCAAGTTTGGTCCGGATCGGTTCAGAAATGGAATTTTCTATTCGGAACATACGTACAGACAGACAGACATACAGACATACATACAGACATACAGACATACAAACAGACATTCAGCTTTATATATAAGATAATATCAAATGTTATATGAGAGATTGTAACGCGCAGTATAGTAATTGACAGTTCTTGTCTCTTATCTTGCTTTCTCTTCTTGTTCATGATGTTAGTTTGTTCTTTTACAGGACAGTTACACATTCTTGCTTGCGCGATTCTGTCGAATTGTAATGTTATGATGTTTTGGTTTACAAAATAAACATTTAACGCATTAATGGAGTACATTCAAGCACCACACATAAACAAGCAACAAAAATGACCCCGAATAAGAGTCCAAAATTATCAACCCCCGTGCGTGCGGCAACCCACCGTCATGCGGGCGCGCTGCGATACCGCTACGGCCCGCAACACCGGCGCCCGCTCGCTGCGGCGTGGCAACCCGCCTGCACGGAGCGAATCCCTGAGGCGGTATTAGTTGCGCCGTTGTGAATTCTGTGCCTCATGCGCTCTGCGGCTAATAAAGCTGCGTTCCGGAGGGCAAGCGTTAGGCGACAAAACGTGCAAAACGCAAGCAACGGAAATCCCGTATCTCAAAACTATGCACCATTTTTTCATTGGCGTCGGGTAATGTATCGGCCCCAACCCCCACCCCCCTGTTTTTGACGGAGGAGACGTTTTGCACGGGTGTTCTTTGGAGTCCAAAAAATTGGGTTTGTCGCCTAACGCCCTACACCCCCGCGTTCGCGCCTAAAGATATTTCGCCTTCGTCAAGCAGCAGCCTAATTTGTATATATTTACTTCTAGGCTGGGTTCATAATGATCCGGATGTTTCGGAACAGTTCCGGCAGAGATCTAGAACTATGCCGGAATTGTGATGCATTGACGCCCGCATGCGGTTTGAGTGGTGGAAGTTGGAGACAAACGGTTTTTCTAAGGTTTTCCTCTCGGATCTCACTTCGGTCTCATTGCTCTAATCTCCCCTTTTGACGGAAAGAGCCTCGATCTTCAAGCGGTTTTAAAGAATGATTGCAGTTTTGCTCCACGTATCCGGTAAGATGAGTCTTCGTACGCTCCCATTCTCCCTCCATTATTTTTGTTCAGACCTACTCCATGTGTTCTGGAAAGCTACCTATGGCCCTTTCAGTTGCGGAACTACGCAGCGGCTTGTTGTAACAAATGGAGTGGGTCTGAACAAAAATAACAAAGGGAGAATGGAGGAGCGCGAGGACATATCTTCCCAGGTACCTGGAAGCAGATGTGCGCTCATTCTCCAAGCCCGCTTCGAGATCGAAGTCATTTTCATCAAAAGGGGAAGAGGAAAAGGAACGACACAGACATAAGTGGAATTTCAGAGAGAAGCCGCTGAAAACGTAAAAATTATCAACTCCAGCCGCACAAAAGCGCAAGCGGGCGGTGCAGCACACGCAGCCAGTTCCGGCCTTGAGAACTGTGATTGGAAGTGTTTCGAGCTCCTCAATCAGTACGAACTTTTAGATACATGTCAAATCTGAAAGCCGATCATGGCCGGAGTGCGTAAGAAGCTGCCCTTTCGCGATTAGTTCGTGAATAATAGGAAGTACAGTCAATGTCAATTGCCTACTCCTTTAACATGGGAACTACGTATGCGCAACGCAAAGCTTCTGCGTGCGGACCTCCAATCGATGAGCCCCGTTTAAATGCCGAGTCATACGCGCGCGAATATGGCGCGAAGCTACTGCGTTTACGGAAAAAGGAACACGTGATTGACACGGACTGTAGACCGGAGAGGAAAAAACTGCAGAAATACAAACAAACGAATGAAAGCTTTGAAGCGGGCGAAGGAGAATATCGTCACTCTTGGATCACCCCTTCTGCGGCTTTTTTCGGTCCGCTCGAGGCAAGACCTCTTACACTCGTCGATTTGGCGTTGGGCGACAAACCTAATTCTTTGGACCCCCCCCCCCCCCCCCCCCAAAAAAAACTCCCGTGCGAAACGTCCCCGGCGCCAAGAACAGGGAGTTGAGGGTCGGGGCCGAGATATTACCCGATGCCATTGGAAAAATGGTACGTACATAGTTTAGAGTTATGGGCTTTGGTGGCTTGCGTTCTGCACGTTTTGTCGCCTAAGGCCTAAGGCATACCTCGCGCGATTTCGTCAAATCGCTACATCCACGCGACTTGGCGACTTGCCACATCTCTACAGATTGACTGTGCGCGGGTCTCAAATGCATAGGCGTGTAAATAGCTTCCGTAAATTGTAGCAAACCCATCAAGTCTGGCCCATACAAAACGCGCTTACGAACAGATATGAAGGGTCGCTGCAGCGTCAGATCGCACAGCGACTGGAATCGCGTGAGCCATACCTCACGCGATTTGGCCAAATCGCCACTTTCACGCGACTTGGCGATATGCCAGATTTTACAAATCTATCGTGCGCGTTTCTCGAATGCATAGGCGGGTAGCTTGTGTAAGTTGTCGCAAATAGGTTAAGTTCTGACCAAAGGAAACGCATTGAAGACGAATTACAGAGAGTCGTTGATGTGCCAAATCGCGCAGCGACACGAATCGCGCGAGGTATGCCTTAGGCCTTATAGGCCGTCCGCGCAGGGCGCGGAGAGTGCGCAAGGTGTGTATTGCACGTCACTCCTCTTTCCCCGTGCACTCTCGCCGCCTGTTTTTCTCTGCGCTCAACTATCTTCACTGAACGCAACAGCGTTGCTCTCCGCGCGCAGCGCGGACGGCCTATAGGCCTAACGCTTGCCCTCCGTGTAATTCTCTGTCAGGAAGCGTTTGCTGCTTGAAGGCAGGACGTACGTCGCTGAACCAGTTGCTTTGCCATTTTTTGTTTCACTTACACTTATCTATATCTCCTCTACGTGGTTGCTGGTTCTGGTCTATGAGATCAGCTTCCGCGACGGAGCCAGTGGTCCAGCTTGGGTGACCATCTCTTCAAAGTAGATTTCTCATTTTTTGGTGATGTCCTCCGGTTTTTAGCTTCCTATCAAGTTTTTCTTTGATTCAGAAAAAGTGTCCCATGTCTTTTTATGACTAGGCTCTTCTTGCTATCCGTCCTTGCGAGACCGTCAGTTCCTCGTAGAGGATTTGAAGTACAGTACTGCTTCAAATTCTTTACAGAAGCCTCGCAGAGCTTGGCTTGTTTGTGTGTGTGCCATCGTCATCCGATTTCGTGTTATGCCATCGTTTGAGCACATCCCTCTTCTCCCTTAGGATCACTAATTCCATCATTCCACGATCCCTTGCCCTTAACATCAATTACTTACTCTTTAGGATGTCGACATTACACAAGCTGCATTCCTGGTGCAGAGCCTGACACTTTTCAAACGTAGCACTCTAGATAGAAGTTCTGGCAGTTCCTCTTAATCAGCTTTTGTTATATTACGTGTTCAAGGTATACCTGTTCCTGCAAGCTGTCCATACATATCGAAATAGGGTGAGGGAACTCATCCATCCAATGCCGCAACGTAATTATGGAGATCATGAACTGTTAACAACGACTAAATGCAGTGTATATAACAGAGTTGAATTTTGCACCGCAGCTCGCCCTAATCCTGTATTAGAAGAAACAATTTCGATATGCTTATGATTTTTTTCGTGCTTCAAACCGCCAGTTTGTTTTCTTTCATCGCTCACTAGAATCCACAGAACACCAATCCATGGACGACTTATTGTTAGGTGCCATTCATTCAGATTCCTGTCCTCTTTCTTACAACTATATTTGCTCTCTGATTTACTCCGTATTTGCAATGTTATCGCCATGGTTTTTTGAGCAGCTCTGCAGTAACGCCAAATCTTTCCTGAATTTCAAAATTTTTTATCTTGACGTTTTCAGAGAGCCCTGGCGATTATTATGTAGGGCAAACCTTTGGCTACTTCGCGCCCGTTTTAGATTATGGGCCACGTTTACCAAGTCCGTTATAATTATTTATTTGATAAAAATCGCGGCTTTTGATTACGTTTACCATGTATTTACCGATAATGCCAAAAGCAGCTTTTTCAAAGCAAGTCAAACTTGGTTATATTGCATGAATAATGATTAGCTATTAGAATCATGCTTCAGTTCGCAGAAACTTCAGTTCGTGGTTTTGCTGCAGTTGCATGTTTCATGACTTTGCCAAAAATCAAGACCTCCAAAGAAATGATTTTTTGAAGCAAAAGTCAGCAAATTAGAAGAACCTAAATATTATCTTGTAGTCCGAAAATTGCTCTATCTGATCCACATTTAACCTTTTGCGAAACTTTAAAAGGAAATTTTTGAAAATTAGCTTAAATTTGAGCAGTTAAAATTGACAGATAGAGAATTGTCAATTACCAAAAAAAGAATACAACATTGTGGTTCGATGATGTATCCATAAGAAAGAGAAGGAAAAGCTTCATCGAATGCATGTTGAAACTCTTTCAGATCCTCATTGTGCATGGCTTTATAACAGTTTGAGAAAACGGAGAAAACTTTCGGTACAACTAATATTTCAATTTCGGAGTCATCCTGATTTTGAACGTGGTAAATTTTCACTGTTTTTTCCCAATCCCAGCTTTTCGCAAAAATCTACGAAATTTTTGGGAACGCCTTGACAGGAATTGCTAAATAGTACAGTCGAGTAGATTTAGCGGTAAATGTAGTGCGCTTGCACAGAAGGTGAAATGCGGTGATGCGCGTGAACAAGTAGCCACGTCAGTACCGCGGGTATCTTGCGCGCGCAATTGGTCGACATCACAGTCGAAACTATTTCTTCACGCGCCAATTTCACCGCATTTCACCTTTTGAGCAAGCACACTATATTTACCGCTAAATCTACTCGACTGTACCTTTCCAGATTTGCAGTGAAAAATGAGAAAAAGTTTATATTTCAATTTCCAAAATTGCAAGCAAAATCATCAGCTATTCGTAAACACCGTGAGAAAAAACCCCAAGATACTAGTTTTAACCCCGATCGAAAGGAAGTCTCTACTGAATTTTGAGCTCGAGGTTTCATGCATTACAGGATGAGGGGAGGCTACTATGTACAAAAATCAGCTTTATCAAGGCGGTAACTGGTGGGTGCTACTTAGCTTTGCTAACGTTCTTGTCCTCCATGACTACGTTGTGACAAGTCTTCAGCTGACTAAGTTCCGTTCCCCATCGAATCACAGCATGAAAAGCATTTTTTTCTAATTAATGTTGTAGCATAAGCATTCTATATCGCGCTAACGTCGAAACAGTAAATACCTCTAAAAGCATAAAATTATTTTTCATTGTTACGCTTTTGTCAAATGGAAATTTTTCGCTCCGAAAAAGCCACCTCTCAGCCTGAGGCGTCAAAGTTATCGATAATACGCACTATCGTAATCAAGAGTAAGAGCTCGCTTGAGCAATGCATTAAATGAACGTATGAGTTGTTTGCGATGTACTCGACCTCTTACAGTCTACACTAACACAATAAGGGACTCATCATTGAGATGAGTATCATTTTTGCTCCCATTCTGGAATCTATACACTCCGAGAAAAATGCAATAATGCGACTCAATCCTTTTTCAACAAAAAGCGGCAGTGATTTGTACTTAGTGATATGATGCTGACGTTGGCTTAACGTAGAATCTTCTCATTGTTGAAGATCTCTCATGCTATTATACGGATAGGTTGGATTCGAGCTAACGTCATAGTTCTCTTTTCGACCTTATTGGATTCTTGAATAAACAAAGTAGTACGTCTTCGCCATGCAATCTTGTCGCTTCCTCTTTCGAACCACAATGCAATCTTTGCTTGGAATTAATGTCACAGCTAAGTAATCTAATACTTTTGTCAAAGGCCAAAGCCAAAGCACAAACCACAAGTATGAACCAGCGTTGTTTTTGTACAAACACCTTATTTTGTAATTCACCTTTCCACCCAATCTCTAAACAAATTTATGCAGAATGGACATCTCACTGAAAAAATTCCATGGCAGCTGATTGCAGAGGAAAAGTATCATGAACTTTGATTTGTAAAAAAATTTTTGCAGCAGAATTGAAAGCTCCTGTGTGAGCCATAGCGCTACAGCTATAAGAATGTTTTCGCTGTAGATACTGCCTTTGATGAAAGAAAGTCATTGGATTCTTGTATAATACTTGCACCCATCTCTCAATTTCCATTTTCCTGTTTACTTCATTTCGGTACGCCAAGAAAGTTACGCGTTTCTATGACGCGATACAACGTGGTTTAGGGGAATTTGAAAATTGTTTAAAATTACCAGATGTTCGAAATAGATCTTAATTTTATTTTTGGTCTTGGTACCATGACTTATCTTTTCTAAGTAGAAGAAATTCATAGTGATTGGATGTTTCTACGAATAGTCCGTTCGATTATTTTACACAACCTTGGTTGTACCAAATCTATCTTCTAACATATTATTTAATTACTACATTTGTTACACACGAAAAGAGTGAATTGTACGAATTGAAATTGAACATTCAAACGTTTTTTGCGTTTTTTATGCAAGATGTATGCCTAATTGAATGAATCGAAATGCTTTGGTTTAGAGGGAAGGGGGAAGGGGAAAGGGGAGGAGAGAAACGAGTTGCGCAGAAGAATCTTCTTATACGTTTCTTATCGCTCGTATCTTTTCCATATCACAAAAAGATCGATTCATTTGTATAAGAAATTCGTGAAAAATTCGCTAGATTTCTGTTGATTGAATAAAGCGTGTCGTTTGTCGCCGCCGATCAATCCACTTATTTCAGATGTATTTAACTGCTTTTGATCTCGGTTATATTATTTTTGTGACAACATCCGGGACTCTGAGTATTGTCGCCAATTCGTTTCTGCTCTATATGATCATTCGAAAAAGCCCGACGTGCTTATCCCCATACCGCATATTCTTGGGTAATACAGCTTTGACTCAGCTACTGTACTCATTCGTTATGCTTATGATAGAACCAAGGTAAATTTGTCTGCACTTCCTCGCAAATTTTGAAATAAACTGATTTGCAAAATGATGTATATATCCTACACCTACTTACCTCATCTCGCATCTTGCATTTTTACAGGATGCTGGTAAATGAATTAAATATCGTTGTGATCTATCTTGGACCAGCACAATTCCTTGGTCCATGGGCTTGCTATATTTTATTTATTACTATGCGTAAGTTTTTTTTCGCAATTCGAAGGGCAATAGACATGCTTGAATGCATGTTTATCGTCTTGCTATTTTACGGACCAGAGAGGGCAGCATAGGGCGTTGTTCACCTCTTATTTTTAGTTTGTACTATGTTAATGTTTTCACTGAGAAACTCATCCCAGCATTTTTTTAGTGATCCAGGGATTGATGGTCTTGATTTCGCTGTAACTCTGCACAGGCGATGGTGGGGGGGGGGGGGGGGGAGGAGGAGGGGGAGGGAGGAGGAATGGATATTTGACATACCGACCACGAAAATGATGAGATACGATGAGATACAGTCTCGGCCCACTCGGGATCAGGCAGAATCGCTTGTTGTTGCGCGCACGCAGCGCCAGTACTCTGCGCTGCATATGCGCACTGTCGGAGAGAACGAAGAGATCGATGAGAGAGCAGGCAAGCAGACTATAGGCGTGACGCAAACCCTAGCGACGCGGCTCCCGCCATGCCGATTTCGGCCTGATTGGGATTGGGGCAGACTGTACGGCGTGAGGTCAAAATCTCAAAATTTGGTGTAAGTTTGCTTGGAGGGGTATACGAAATGCGGTACGAAAGTTATCAACTTACCATGAAGCCACTGAAGCTACATCTAGCTTGCAAAATGGTCAGAAAATCTTATTGACATATGAAATCTTGATTTGATTTCTACCGCATGCTTGTCGTAACTTCTGGGAAACTTGGCCGTTGAAAACATCGGAATGGGTCTTCGGTTGAATAACTTAAACATCAAAAAGGCAAGCGATGCAGTTTGAAGTGAAGAGAAATATTGCCGACAGATTAATTTTTATTTCTCCGTCTCGATCGATTACTCAAAGCATTCCGTCAGCTGAAGGCTCTGCAATCCAGCATTTTCTATCCTCTTAACTAAAATAACCAAGTGAGGACTGGAATTTTGATCATCATAAATTTCCGTTGAACCTGTTAACAAGGGCAATAGTAGAAAATCTTGCCATTTTCACCGTACCAGAACCATCCTCTACTCTTTTTACAAAAACGAGATAACAGTACAAATCTATGCGTAATACGTCCACAAAACTTGTTTGTAGTGCACTATGCCGTGAATTCCTTTGTCTCCATCATGCTCTCCATGGTATTCCGCTGCATATCGGTTCTAACACTTGGGTTTCCCAGCTCAGGAGCTTATATCATGTGTTTCATAGGTTATATAGTTCCTATGACAATGGTGGTGAGAATTAATTCAAGTGAGTGTTGTAATCTTCCTCCATTTGATTTTTTTACAGCTTGGAGCACTGAATATGGATGTGGTTAGCGATCCCGCTTCTAATAATGCTTATATCAACTATAGTGTAGCTAATCTGGAACTCTATCGTACTGTTGTGGGGACAACAGTTGACCAGGTAACGGATGTTTGACTAGTGGAGCAGCTGAAAAAATGAGTCATCTAAAAATTGGAATAAGATATTAACGCACCAATCATCGTGCTCTATCTGAGCTGAAAGTTGATGCTTTTAGGCATGCAATATGTATGTCATAATGTGCACCTCAATCTTCTTTATTCCTATGTATATAGTAATGTACTTCTGCCGATGGAAAATCTACCGAGTTATATCACGCCCTACATTTGTACAGAATAATTCAACAAAATCTAATATACAGAAGCTCGTGAAGGTTTGTTCATGCTTCACAATATTTCATGATCATCGCCTTACCGAAGCGGATTTCAGGCACTCACTTTCCAAGCACTAATCCCTCTTTTCACCGTATTCCCAGCTTCACTATCCTATCTGCTGGCTCAATTTGGCCCACTACATTTCCAGTTGTACAGCTATTTCATAGTTTCTTCTCTCAGTATTTGTGAGTTTCCGATTTTCCCTCAACAGTTCTGATGTCGCTGTCAACATTTAACGCAAATATGGAGGGGACGATAGTTCCACGTTTTGCGTCGCTTGGCAAATTGTATGCGCGCAAGTACTGTCGCCTCCGCGAGGAAACTATATTAATTGTCAGATCTATCACGCTCTAAGTATTCTGCAAGTATTAGGTTGTCCCGAAAGTTTTGTCGGTTTCTTTCGTCGCTCACTAAAATTCACAGAACACCTATCCATGGGCAGCTTAGGTACTGTTCGATTCAGATTTTTATCCTCTTTCTTACAGTTATACTTGCTCTCTGATCTACTCTGTCTTTGCAATGTTATCGTCATGGTTTTTGAGTAGCTCAGCAGTAACGCCAAATCTTTCCTGAATTTTAGAATTTTTTATTCTGACGTTTCCAAAGAGCGTTGGTAACTATTACGTAGAGCAAACCTTTGGCTACATTATATCCATTTTAGATTACATGAGCCGCGTTTACGAAGTCTGTTATAATTATTTATTTAATAAAAACCGTGGCTTTTCTGATTAAGTTTAACATGTAAAAGTACCAAAAATTCCAAAAAGCTGCTTTTCAAAGCGAATCAAAGTTGGTTATGTTGCATAAATAACGTTTAGTAAGAATTATTTTTTAACACGCAGAAACTTCAAAGCTTTCTTGTATTTGATGCAGTTGCGTGTTTCACGACTTTTTCAAAACTCGAGACCTCCGGAGAAGTAATTTCTTGGAGCTAAAAACAGCAGATTAGGAGAATCTAAAAATATTAACTTGTAGACCGAGAATTGCTCTATTTGATCCGTACTTAACCCTATTCGAAACAATGAAATGAAATTTAAAAAAAAATAGTCTAACTTTGAGCAGATAAAATTGACAGGTGGAGAATTTTGGTAATTATCAAATAGAGCATACAAGATTGTGGTATGAGAATGCAACCACAAGAGAGAGAAGGAAAAGCTGCATCGAATGCGTGTTGAAACTCACTCAGGTCTTTATTGTGCGTGGTTTTACAGTGATTTGAAAAAACCGACAAAACTTTCGGGACAATCTAATACATTGCCCATGTATACAGGGTGTCCCAAAAGTAAGTACACACTTTTCAATCGTCAATATCTCTCTTCCCATTGGGTGTTTTTTTGCCAGTTAAGTACCGTTCTGTAGAGGAGGCTTCAGCTTAGATTTACAGTATCGATAGAATCACCGATTGCTCCTTGTTACTGTAGGATTACGGTAAGAACTTCCAGCATATGGAACCATTGTGAGATACGTGATCTGACGAAAATTTTTTTCAAAAAATCTGAAAAATCGCATACTAGGGTTTTCGCACACTCTAATTCCTCTACGCAACTTTTTACAAGTGTTTTCATCTTTTTTGACGGTGTAATCACAACTCTGACAAATACTGGGAAATCGGTTATTACGGTTTATTTGGGATATCTTTGTAAAGAAGCATCACAGACAAGTGAAAGTTTCATATTCGAAATCAGCGGCTTCCACTACCATAGCATAAGAGTCTTTGGCTTGTTTGGTCTTGTTCCGAGGCAGAATATGACTCCCAATGGCCTAAAATCCTTGCCGAGAGTTCCTACAGTAATCCTACAGTAATGAAGAGAGATCGGTGATTCGCTCGATTTTGTATATTTAAGTTGAAGCCTCCTCTACACAATGGTACTCAAATGGTGGAAAAAGACGCACCAGGAAGAGAGATATTGACGATTGAAAAGTGTGTACTTACTTTTGGGACACCCTGTACATGATTAATATTGGGTTGGCAAATAAGCTCGTTTTTTATGCAAAGCTCCTAAAAATACTCACTGGTGTTTCACATTGAAATAAGGGGAAGCAGCTCAAAGCTTGTATTATCTAGACAACTACTCGTTATTTTTTACTTTCGATAAAGGACAGTTATGCCCCAGTATAATAATTTCCAGGAGCTCGGTTTTTTTGACCTTTCAAGCTTTTTTCATGTGTAATGGAAGACGAGTTTAGTTTGCACACAGCCAGATTTTCTCTATTTGGTGAATAACAATAAAATTTGTAATCTGCGAACCTGAAATTATTTGATTAAAAGGACGAAATTCTCTCACTTTGCAGACGATGAAGAAACTGACGTTTTACTTCCTTGTGCATTTGCTTCATAGGAAAATAAATTCTACTGAAATCTTAATTAAGTTCTCTTTCCAAAAATGAACATGGACAAAAACTTGTCTGCTGCATTTGTGGGGCCTTCAATAGCGACCGAACTTGTTTACTAGCCAACCTAATATTTTGCGCAATAGTGATCTGAAAGCTAAAGGAAATAGAAAAAAGGAAAACGAAGAGAATGAAGGCAAAACAATGAAGCATAATCCCGTTTCAGCAGCCCTCGTTGATCCAATGGTTACGATCTATTACGTCAGTCCATATCGTAGATACGCTCGGAATCGCATGGGATTCCCTCGTAGCCAATCTGAATTCGCTACATGTTCGCGGCCTTCCGTAAGAAAACTCTCTTCTAACAAATATGCACGTAACTAACAATATTATTGTTTGTAATTGTTTATTTGTCTTCTCTCATTGTTTTCTAAAAGATTACATAAAAGTCTTGATATTTCCAAGAACGTTACAGCGTTCAAAGAGTGTTTGAAATGCTCTGAATAATTTTTTCTGCGATTATAGTGCCAAAAAATGTATGTGCGATCACCATGAATTCTATGCACATATATTAAAGGCACCGTCCACCCAAAATGGAGGTTGGCGAGATTTTGATGGCATACTAGTGTGGGTCCCCCCACTAGGCAAACCTCCAAGCTGCATCGCAAAAGACTGCTTCTGGAGCGAGAAATACGCTCCGGAAGTAGCAAAGTAGGCGGGGCGACCATGGTCGCCCCGCCTACTTGCATGCTTTATCTCGCCTGCGCTTGGTGCAGAGGGTTCTTGAAACAGGGATTTTTGGGTGCTACGCGGATGTTCGTCTCCATATTCGAAATCAGGACCTTCAGAAGGCCTGGAATCGACAAAAACATGGAAGTCGAGAATTTGGGTGGACGGTGCCTTTAAATATAGAATATTAAAAATAAAATAGTACTTCGTTTCTATATTAGTGAAACAAAACTAAATACACTTGTTCCAATGGCAACTTAAACAGTGTAAAAGATCTGTTCTATCTTTGCTAACTACTATCACGTTTCCTCCTTATTTTTGCACTTTCTGCTCTCCATGCAGGCTGAGCGTATCAGCTTTTCCTAAAAGTAAATGTTCACATAATTCAGCATAGCTGCAGCTGGTAATGTTTGGATTTCCAAAGCATTTTATGACCCTCTCAAAATCAGATTGTTATAATAGTGCCATGAGTACTACACATCTCTCCGCTTCAACATCAAGTGTGAATAGTCCGCGATGAATGTCTACAGAATACCGCTCGTAATTGTGAAAGAAGTCACCGCACTCAGCCGGAATCGCCATATACTGCTTTGGAGTGGACGAATTCTCAATCCAAAAGCACCATTTACCATAATTCAATTCTTTGAGCAATCTACCATGAGCAAAATCTAGAAGGATTCTTGAAATCTGACTGACTGTCGTGTCCAGACAGGCACTTCCACATACTAAAAGATGCATCTCGTCGAGCTGAGCTGAAAGTTGCTTTTGCGTTAAGAATTTGTCCACTCCGAAGCAAGATATGGCGACGCAATCAAAGTTCGAGGAGCTCCGATGGATTGCGGTGATTTTTTTTTTCACAATTACGAGTGGTATATCAATTCCCTGATACGCCCGGGCTCTGTACAAGGAAAGAAGAAGAGGAAAAGAAACTTCAAGCAAACATGTTACCAGCCAGCACTGAGCCACAGAGGGATAAATCTGACAGAAGTGTGTGCAAACAAAGTGAAGCCCCAGACCTAGTAAAATATGGGAATACGGTTTACCAAAAAAACTTGCGCAGTCACAGTAAGGTTTGACCTGATCATGAATGAATAATTTGGTCGTATATTCCACTCAAAAATCGCAAGACAATACAGAAGAAACAATCTTTTTTTGGCATTGTATAAGATTACTAAAACCATAGAAGTTACTTCCTAATGAATTGTTCGAGTGTAACAATAGAACTGAAAATCTTATTAGATATGGAGATTTTGACTTACGTTAAATCTCACAGAAGCATTGACCTAGGTACGACTAATGTACGAAACAATCCAGCATTTTGTCCTCCTTCTGGAAGCTACTTTTCTTGAACCTACATATGCAGTGTTTGCGATGATTTGCATGGTTTGAGCATACCTGACCTTTTGAAAAAGCCCTGGTAATGCTATTCAAAGTAAACCCGAATAAGGGTTAGTTATTTTACATTACCTAATCCAAAATTTCAAAGTTCATATTATTTGTTTACTCGAGAAAAACTTTGGCATCCCTAGCACATGGGGCGTGGAGGCGTGAGAGTTCCAAAGCTGATTCTCTGAAGCAAATAAAATTTAATTCTAGTGTATGCGCGAGTGTTGAACTAGGTTTCGTAGCCGTTTGAAAAAAGACAAGGTTTTCGGTAGCCCTGATATCATGGAAGTTCATATTGAGAAATGAACTACGTCACAAAAAACTCAAAATCTATCCTAATTCGGTTTCGTGCCATCCATTAGAGCAAGTCTATAATCACCTGGCTCTGCCCGGAGGTTACGACTTACTTGGATGGAACGGAACTCCTCATTTGTAACGAACGATGAGATGAAGGTGCAAAAAAGTTTCCTCCACCAATGCACCATCAAAGCAAATAGAGCACCTGTTAGTACGTAACGCAGGCCTCAATTCAAATACGCAAACAACGGGATCACTCCCCAAAAAGTATCGTTTTGTGTTAACGCAGTTGGCTTCAGTTGATTTCCTTTTTCACGGGTACGTGAGCAACAGTATATGTAAACAGTGGCTTTTCTATTGGGAAACGTACAGACATCCGTAGTACTATCGAACAAGGAAGCGCAACGATCTACCAACGGAACTGCGATGACTTAGCAACTCATGGAATTGACGTAAGCCATTGAAAGGATAAACCCAGAATTAGAATCACCAAAAATATGGTAATAATCTGAAGACCACGGCAATGGATGAGAAATTGTGTGCTGCGCATTATGCTGGCCGAGTTCCGCGGTTGTGATAATTATGAAGTTAGCACAGAAAGCTGCAGAGCACAAGGATCGCGTCTTGGTGGATGGGTTTGAAATTGCCTCCAACAGTCTGGATGTTACTTAGAAGCTTGTTTATCAATGCAGCAGAGGTTGCATAGTAGAAACTTGACTAGAACTTTGACGGCAACCCCGGGCCAGGACGTTTGACTACAACCTTATTGTTGACTTTTAATCCTTCTCCTTCGCAAAATCTATAAAAAAACATTCTGAAGACTTAAGAAGCCATTGTTGAAGTAATAGGTTTATGAGGATAACATATATTAATAGCCGATTGTGTGAATAGAAAGATTACAGTGGGTCTGTATTTTCGAAAAATTTTATCATGAAGCTTTATGCATGGAATATTGTGATGAATCATACAAGGTTCTCATCACGAGTTGTCACTAGGTTTGACGCAGAAAATATCAATATTCGATAAAATTATAGGTGGTTGGGAAAGTTGGGAATGTAGCCTATGCCCCAAGTTGGGAATGTAGCCTATGCTTATAATCTGCTCTATTTCGTTTTTTGAGCCAGAGTGTGTTGTGATAAAGCTTTTCACTCTTCAAATCACTGGGTTCATCTTCGAATACATTATTAAAGAACTTTACTGGGTGCGGCAGAATTTTTTTGCAGTCACTAAAACTGAACAGCAACGACCTGTTATGCAATAGATGTGACGATTATGATGTTCCTGCAATGGCTTCTTTTTTCGGAAACAATTACGCGTGAAAATTACGAGTGCAAGATTGAATTGCGCTCATCTGCCACTTTGCTGGCGCAAATCGCCGGATTTACAAGTGTATAGTGAGTTGTTTACGCGCAAATGCTGCCGGCAAACGGTACTACAGACTTCTTTACAGCTTGCATATGTCTGTTATCGCCAAATGCTAACGAAATTTCTGTGTGGATATATTCGACATCTCCATTCATTAATGTCCTTCAGCAAAGTAAACCTGAGATGAAGGATCAAATGTAAAATCTGTATCAACGCAGTATAAAATGAGTGAGTGGGCATGAAATATAATACATAACATGGACTTCTCGAACTCCCATCCTTACTGAGATGTTTATATGGGCAGAGCCCGACAAGTTGTTACGCTTCACCTGAGAGAAGAAACCAAACAGAAGCAGGATGAAATGTGGCTCTTATCGACAAAGTTCAGCACATTCCGGAAATATAACGCAAACTTTCAGATCCATTTCGATCGTGTTAGCTACGAGATACGATACCGCTCACAGTTTTTGAAAAATAGACGCGAATGTAGCATAACTCATGCGACGGTCGCATAAGTCACGCGATGTTCGCATGAGTTATGCTACATTCGCGTCTATTTTTCAAGAAATCTAAGCGGTATTGTATGATGCTGCATTTGATCCAACATGTCTAAAAAGAGCAGTAACACCTTAAGACTGACCTGAACAAAAATATTTAGATATGTTTGTTTGGATTTCGTTTTGTATCATAAAAAATAGCACTATTTCATTTGAGAGTTGCAAAAGTGCTGGCGGCAATGCAAGGCGTTGCTGCTTCGCGCTCATTGTTTTGATTGCGTTTGCGTATTTTCGGTGATCTGCTCACACTCCAAACAGAGCAGCTGTCAATAACTCTCACGAATCATCTGTTCGCACTTCGCGCACTGGCCACGATGTGCTTGAGCCGGGCCTTGATTTCTTTGTGTAGTCTTCTATCATCTCTGATAACCAGCGGCCCTCCACTGTTGTCCGAGAGCCAGTGCGCGTGCTCTCGCCCACCCTCTGACCATCGGCTCGCAGCCTACAAAAGCTTTCACATTCCGTCTACGGCCGCGCACTTGCCCCTCAACCCGGTGAAATGAGGTGAGTTCTCTTGAGCTAAAGTTTTATACTTTCCTATATAGTAGCTATGCCACTGGGACTCTATATTACTATCAATGTATTGATAATTTTGTGTCAAATGTAAGGACAGCTCATAATGCGGACCTTGTATGATTCATCACAATATTTTATGCAAAACGCTTCATAACAAAAATTTTCGAAATTTTCAAACCCACTGTATTCTATCTATGCACACAATCAGCTATTAATATATGTTATCCTTATGAACCTACTGTAATAATGGCTCCTTAAGCCTTCAGTATGACATTTTATAGATTTTGCGAAGGAGACGGATTAAAAATTCACTGAGGTTGTAGTCTAACGTCCTGGCCCAAGGGATTGCCATCAAAGTTCTAGTCAAATTTCTACTATGCATCCTCTGCTGCATTGGTAAACAAGCTTCAAAGTATGACTGAACCAGTCCAAAGCGCCGCTTCGCGGCGCTTCGGACTGGCTATGTGTGTGTAGTGAGATTGACTGTCAAAGATAGAACTTGGGAACCTTTTCTTCAAAAGTATGGCACGGATTTTTCAGACATTCAAAAACCCAGAAATTATCAAAGTTAATTCTGAGGATCTTTTTTGCTTTATGTGGTTTCCTAAGTTCTATTAACAAAAGTGCCAACAGAATTTCAACCGCTTCCTCCCAGCTTTCCAAGTAGGTATGCTCTTGCGCTTTGCAAACTTGCGTATTGCTGTCTCCTGAGTTCTTTGAGCCAAACTGCATCCCCTTCTCCTCCCATTCTTTTTCATCCAATTTCCTTTATGAAACTCCCGAACTACCAATCTTTTCTGCCATTCCACATCCTTCAGATCTTACTTAATCGCTTTCGAATCTTGCCCCAAATGTGCTGCTGTTGAGAAAATGCGAACTGCGCCTTTACAGTCCCCCGAATCAAGCCAAAATTGGCATGTTGTGCCGCGCACGCCAAGATTTTCCGTCATGTCTGCTGTTTGCTAATAGTGGTTAGTTGGGACCTGTCTGTTCCCACCTTTTCTTTAAACTCCCCTGCAAGGAAATGCCGCAAGCCCTTAGCGTTTTCGTGCGGTTTTGAGGCAACGTTTTAGCGTGATCACCTTTCGACAAACTGTAGCTGCCAAAGTGGCTCATTCACACATTTTGTGAAAATCCTCGGATACCCTCAAATTCTCACATTCAGAAATTTTTTGACAAAGTGGCCGTCACGTCACAAACTCGGCAAGCTTTTCCCAGCTACAGCTGTGTACATTCCTCCTGACTCTTTTCACCCGGGGCCCTGCTCTCCTCATCGACTGTCCCTACGAACTACCTTAATATTTCATTCCCTTTAGATCTTTTGGGCCCGTATGTAAACTTGGGGTGAATTTTAAGCAATGTCCCCGATCATGAAAGGGCCGCGGGCGAACATCGCTGCAGCTCTAGCCAACGTTCCATCTTATAGTTACAAAATCTTCTAAATCAAAGAACATCCCTTCCTCATCACGAAATATGCGTTGTTGGAAGCTTGCTCAGAGTCTTTTCAATTCAAAAATTCTAATTCCAAACTCCCGTTCGCGTTCTATATGGGCTTTTCAAATTGTTCAACACCTATGATAAGCCCAACTCCAGTGTCTACCCCAATTTCCAGCTCATCTTAGTAGGCTACTGACTTGAATATAATCAAGAATGCTACTATCAAAGTGTATATCCAATTTCAACTGTTCATCCAAACACTGACTATACGATTTTGAGGTTGTGCAATGTTTTGACAAAATTACGGAACAGCATCATTATATTGTTCATGATAATTGATAGAATCTTTTTAGAATCATTGATTTTTGGTCGGTTTCGCCAATTCTTCGGTTTGAATATACTTGTACCGTGTTTTTTTTGTATTTACTGATACAAAATGGCAGATGATGATCGTTTTGAGATCAAAACGTTACTCTCAAAAAAACTGCTCAGCTTGTAGAAAAATTCCACATAAATGCAGCCATATTGGAGGTGCTGCTCAAATCGCTTCATTTTATTTCGAGTTTCTCAGAAAAAACTTCAATTGACTTTTTCTTGAGGCATAGAACTTTGCAGCAATTATGAAATCCTCAAATCTAATATAATTTTAACATAAATGAAAAATTGCTCATAAAAGTAAAATTGCATATGTTGGTGCGCTTTTGTTGCTCTAGGAGCGATCAGAGTTGCATAAAAGGAGAGATAGTTGTAAGAATCAGAAATAGTCACAGAAACGATGAGGTGCGAAAAGGCAGGTATCACAGGGCGATGGGAATGATAGCCTTTCAGATGAAACAAACGATGGTAGAATACCTTACCCGTCTTTAGATTCGGATAATGGAGTCAAATCGTAGCTGAAATAAAGCGAAATATCGTGAAGCGGTTATGAGACTAATCGATCTCACCGCTTAGGAGTTGTGGTAGCAGCGTTTGACTGCTCGTGCCTGCGTAAGGAACCTTGATAAACAATAGCGAAGACAGACAGTCTGATGGCAAAGATCACTTGTACAAAAAAGGGCAGTGGTAAAGTGCAGGTTCGTGGAGCATAGTGGTAAAGGGCAGTGGTAAAGTGCAGGTTCATGGAGCATAGTGGTAAACAACCCAAACATGGCACGAACAGACCGACACTGACGTCAGATGGGGGTGCCTGCGCTTTATTAAAGAGTATGATAAGTAACAGTCAGAGTGTTGGCAATTTCAAACCCATCAACTAAGACGGATCTGCTCTGCTAAAGCTTTCTGTGCTAACTCCATGATTGTCTTTTTTTTTCAAAAACCCAGATACATTTGTATTTGTGCAGTTTTCTAAAAACCATCCTAGTTTGTCCTTCATATAAATGTCCCTATTTACAAATAAGCAGTATTCTAGAATGACGTGATTCCTTGTAAATCAGCACCAAAAGTACAAAATTTGACGTCAAGTGAGTCCAAGGCGTCCATAACAAAAAATTTCAAATCCTTTACGCTTTCTGATTTGAAGATCCCAAGAGCGCAAAGACCACATATTTTCTATACGGCGACTCTTTTTTGTATCGCGCAGTGATAGAAGGTCTGTACGCAAAGATATCACAACTTGTGCCTCACTGAAATCAATTTTCTGACTAAAACTTGCTCCCCGTAATGAGTTGCAGTTCGTAGCGATAGACCATTTGCCTTCTCCTATTCCGTTTCTCTTCGCGATCAGGCTCAGTGATATTTGTCGACGAGTCGCCGTTCACCGTCGCAAAAGTGGACGGTGCTTGAGGAAACTCACGCTGCTCCCGAAGTGCGTGCGTAAAAAATAGATGCTGTGCGTCTCAGCTTTCCAAGCTAGCTGAAAACATTGAATAGGTGTACTGAGGCTATTAACAATGCGACGTCAATGTAAATACTGTTGGTCTTGCATAGAAAAAAAGTAAAATAGAAAAGGAAGATTCTTATAGTTCGACTAAGATGGGATACGTCAGATGCGATTTTTGGATATTCAGTGCTTTCTATAGTTTCACAAGTTCCGCAAATTTCTGAGAAAGCAATCACATGATAGCTTCGGTTGTGCTCTTTGTCCCACCTAAAAATTCATAACTCCTTATTTCCTCGTCGAAATTGCACTTTGCTGCACAGGTAGAAAAGGGAGAAATAAACCAGAAGAAGAACTCAACAAATTAAGAAAATCATTATTTTCTAGCAAGGGGTACATAGAATTTTCTTTGGAAATTTTCTGAATGTAACTTTCCATAGAAACGTGCAAATTGCACAAGCTTTGCGCTTGCGTTTTTTTACCGCTTCTATCTATGTAATATGCGCTTGATAGAAAGTTTCTAAGGTACATTGTAAAAGGCATTATCTTATTTTTCGGATAAGTTTGAAAGCATGCAAATTTTTTGAGGATTCAAAACTTATTGGATTTGAAAATGATTCGCGATATAATATCCAGCAAAGGGCTTGAACACCAAAAAAAGTATTTTCGAATAGCCACTAAGTCAAAGCACTTTGTCTGCTGCTTTTGAAGACTAAGCAGTACAACCGCAAAAATCGCTCCTCTTGACTGCCAATCGAAATAAGTTCGAATATCAAATTTTGACAACCAGATTAAGTTCAAACAACGAAATCGCTCATTTTCAGCTATATCCTTTTAATCTTACCCCTGGCAGTCGTCTGTCAACAGTTTTCCACCCAAAGAGCTAATGGTAAGCAAGGAAATCTTGCTATTCGAACTCTTCACAATGTTCCCACTTCTAGTGGAATCCATGCCAGCTTGGTATCAAGGCCATCCCAAAATGGCGTCAAATTACGGTTATGATCGAGTCGAGCGGCCGTCGCCGATGAGTATGAATTACCAAAAGTGGGTTCGATTTTCAAAGGTTCAGTTTGATACCACAACTTGCGTTTCAGCTACCCATCTTATGGAGCCACCCGAACGGCTTATCCTGAATTAACCATGAGCGGAACCGCACCAAATAGGAGATATCCGGTTGGTGGTCAGGACGTGAGTAGATCGATGATAAGAAAAGTGTCCGAGTCGTTTGCACCTCTTACGAGCTCTCAGCTTACTGACTTCGCTTCGCTAACACCTAGACTGCTTCGATCACTTTGGGGGCCTGTATATGCACAGACCAATCAACTAAGCCTCTGGCTTAATCACATGAGATCTCTTTATTATTTGAACAAAGTCGTAGATCTGCGCCAAATACTAATGTCTGTCATGTGACGGTAGCTTCCCTGCACTAGAGTTAGAGCAATGTAGTAATTTAATTAGTTTCTATCAGTTAGAACATAGGCGGTTTCAGAAAACGGGCTAATTGCATGTTCAAATTTTCTCTATCTCTTATTGTAATTTTGAACATCTTCTCAAGCAGTTTATCGGAGGTATTTCTTTGTATGCAATGCTCTGATAAACTGTTTCTATCAATGTTTGAAGACTAACAATGGCTGTGCTACTAGTAGGAGTAGAGACCACACCCAAACAGGATGCATCTTCGTCCAAACATAAGGCGCTGATTCCAAATCTTCCAAATAGACTTAATGTTTTCGCTCACGTAACAGCAATAAAAACCGTTCGGTTATGGTTAGGGTGATAGTAGTACATTGTTTCACAAAATCTGCGCGCCTTGCAAAAACTCACACATTATTATTTTTTAGTAGGCTTTGGAGTACTATTTGAGGCCGTCTTGGAGCAAGCTCTGCAAGACGGCCTCCAAACATTCTCACAAGCTCCACGTGAATGCAGCCAAAATACAGAATTTGAAGGTTGAATCACCAACTGAGAAAATTGTATGGGCTGCCCGTTTGCTCACGCATATACTGCCTACCAGTCTCTGTATGAGAAACTTTTGAAGGAAGGGTGGGGGGAGGGGGGGGGGAAGACCAAATTTTCAACCAAAGAGCGTGGCTAAGACCTTTTAGGATTTCCAGCATTTTGGAGGTCTATAACCTGTAATTAGAAAGAAGCATGGATGCTACTTTGAACTCTGAAAAATTTTAGAAGTTATTTTGATCAGTTACGCGTAAGAACAAGTCATTCGCACATTTTATATCCCATGTAGGCACTTGCTAAAACTTCGCAACCATTCCTGGGAAGGGGTGGTGGTGGGGGGGGGGGAAGGAGGGGGTCCGCTTTCACCTCTTCTCCGTGGTGCTTCTACATAGAGCTTCTTATACCTTGGCTATTGAACAAAAAGCGAAGAAGGCCAAGATTATAAAATTCTTCTTTTTAAGGTTAATTGAGTTTCTTTTTGAAAACTTGCACATGCAAATTTGTGAATCCCTCTGGATATACAGTCAAAATTATACCAACAATGAGGCTTGTGGTAGAAACTACGTGGGAGAGCGCAAAAAATGCTTTGCTTGCTCTCGCAACTTTTCTCAATTTCTTTCCTTCGAAATGTGCAGCAGCTGCATAAATAAATTTTCGGCGTATTGAATGCTTGAGCAAGTGGCAGCTTCGTAGAAGTTCTGAAACGGAGATCCCACATTCAGGTTTCTGAAATTTTGGAGATTTTGGTTGCAACTTCGAATGCTTGAGGACGAATTTTGCGAGTGATGTGCAAGAGAGAACTATTTTGATCTTCAACATCTTCGCTCTTGAGCCTGTTTCTAGCTAGTCAAATAACCTTGCCTGCTCTTCTTCACCTTGATTCTATTGTTTGCTCCATCCCGCATGAAAGAGTAGCATCTAGAAACGGGAGAGAACATCAGAGCACGTTCGTAGGTGATAGAGGTGAAGTAGTAGCATCATTCATCAGTAGTTGCTAGAGCATTCTCTTAGGTTGCGTTCAGAGTTGCGCGTGCCAGCACCTCGAGAGCCCTTGTCAGAACCTTGATTGACCAATACGGGGAGGATGCATTTGATCTCCGACACGGCGCTGGCACGGCGCTGGCACAGAGCTGGTGCACACGCAACTCTCGCCGCAGCTTTACAGCAAAATCAGGCACTGGCTCACACAGTGTTGTTCCTAGAGACCGACTCAAACCTCACTTACTCGCTATCATCAACTTCTGCTGAAAAAGCAAGAGCAAATGCGACGAGAGCAGCAACGCAAGGAAACGATGGAGACGAGAAGTGTACTGCCTCAGTCTCTGAAGAGCATCTACTCCACTATAAGGCCAACATTGCGAAATCACACCTCACCTTTCCAAGGAAACAGCAACAGATGGATGCCTCTCACTCCAAGAGAGACAGCAAAACCTGAGTCGAAACCTTCCCAGACATCTACAACTACCGTAGAGTCAACCACGCAAAGGTTTCTTTGTGGTTATAACTCGTGGTTTGAGCCGGTATCTCGACTCCTTTAGAACTGTGGCATCCACGACAGCCGATCGCACTGACTGTTGCACAAATGCGACTTCTTCCTCTTCTTCGAACTTTTCATTCCTGGAATATCTATGGGTGGGCTGCCTGCTTTGCGCACTACTTTGCATGCACCTTTTCTAGTGGTCCCTTGGAAGCATGCGATTGGTACACCAACTCAACTATCTACCAATTTATGTGATTTGAAATTTGACTAAACATAATTCGTTCTACTCAGACAAACGCAAATGTCTTCCGGGGAAAACTGAACTTTCAAAACTTGTTGAGGCGGACGCTCCTATTGGGCTGTGTGGGTGGACTTCGCCCTACCCGGCCTCGCCCCACCTGGCAGCTCCAATAGGAGTGTCCCCCGGGAATTTTAGAACTTCAGCTTTCCCCGGAAGTCATTTGCTGTCTAAGTGGCATATTAACTGCAAAGCTGTTTTTAAAACTGCGCATGTTTTTTTGCTAGCAAACGGGATTTGAGACTAAAGTCACGAACGGCGTCTAGGGATTTCTATAGCTTCTGGCCCCACTTTCTTTAGATCTAGATTCTGCACGTTTTCTGTTTCATTGTATTCTGCTCAGCTCCACTGAAGGAACATGAAACACTCCGCTCTACCTGGCCCAGCCCTACATTGTTGACCCCATTGCTTATCCAAGATGCCTTAGGTCTTTTCGAGTGGAAGTCTAGACCCCGCATGAAGCTCCTGTGAAATCCATGAAATCAGAATTTTTAAGCCTCGCTTTCAAGAACTGAGTGAATTAATGCTGTAGTTTTCATTTGAACATCTGACACCAACATTTAACTCGAAAATTCAACTCACTTGTCAAAATTGCATGTAACTTATTATTAGAGCTCTCCCATCTTAAGGTGCCTTAAAACATCACAGATCCTAAGTTCGAAGGGTGGGTCTGGCCACGTGCATTATTGTCAAACTAACTAGTAATTAACATTGTATTAGAAGTCTAACCGATAGTGAATGCATAATGTAACATAAAAGCAGCATTGATGCTTGAATAAACCTCATACTTCAGCCAAATGCTGAGCTCCTTGCGGCCATAAAAGACGTCGTTGCCAAATTCAAAGCTTCGCTCGATGAAAGTGGCCTGGATCAAGACGTCAAACTCATGGGTAACCAGCTGAGAAACACTTGGCAGCAACTCAGATCAGGTTAGTAAGTGGCCGCATGATGCATGTTTGGGGTGTTAGGGTTTTCCTCACTCTATCTAGACTCACTGTTTCTTCTAAATCCTTCGATTGTGTTAACGGTAGAGTGAGGAAATCTCTAACTTCAGGGGTCGACCGTGGACTGCGAACTGTAAAACAAAGTGCTGAAAACTCTCTGGCGCAAGTAGCAACCTCGGGTACGTTACGGTCAGAAAAACCTCCAAGAAAGTGTTTATACCTTATCTTGATTAATGAATATTAGATCTTTCAAACTAGATGTTTGATTGTTTTTGTGACACTCGCATCACCGAATAACTCTTTAAAAAGCAAATTAATAATATTATTTTCACTTTATCACAAACTGAAATCATATTTAATATTCGTAAACCATCCAAATCGTACAATAAGCCTTTGTCAGGTCCAATGAACGAGCAACTGGGTCGAATACTCGAGAAAGCAGCTGATGATGCAAATATTAGAGGCACAAATATGCGACGACCATGAAATTTTGCAGTTCCAGACTTGTTTTTGTTTTTCAGTATTTCCTGTCCAGTGTGATTATATCCGTTTCTGTACCAGTCCATTTCTCGCACAGAAAATTTTGTACGTACTTTGTACGCTTGTTTTTGTAGAAATAAATTTGAAGTCTATTTGTTTGACTGCACAAATTTTCTTAAAAAATGCAGAACTTCACAAATAAAGTCTCCGTATGTATTTGATGAGATCTTAGACGAAATATCTGCAACACTTCGGAACTCTGAGGTATACATGTGTTCGAAACAATTTGCAGCTATTGAAGTGGGCAGTAGAAAATGCGAGGAAGCCAACAACGAAACGTAAAAATGACGATTCTATAGAATTCGATAAATAAATAACGTTTCAGGCCATAGTAAAGTGGAAATGACGAAGTTTTGAAATTTGCACTAATAGGTGAGTAGCAAGAGAATAGGAAGCTATGAATTGATTTTCACTTATATGACTGTGGCACCCCTTCCCCCTAATTTGGAAGAAGCCCTTCATTAACGATAACCTACACCTTAATCTGATCGTGAGTCCAAAGATTATTCAAGTATCAGAATAAAATGCTCAGATATCCTTTGGAGTTCCATTGTTAGAAAAACATGGTTTTGGGTTGCAGGATTTTGGAAAATTTGACTGTTTGAAGATGTCTCATTTCATACGTGTATGAAGTTATCGTTACTTACAATTAGTAATTTAAAGTTTCGCGTATATTCAGTCATATGTGTCATATCCAATTATTATCAGTCTGGTATTTGATAACTTGACCAGCCACGTATTCGAATATCTACAAGATTCTGTCATTCAAGTGCTGATTGAGTGATTTGATCATAAGAAGTTAAATGTCATTTAATCTTAAATGCCTGAATTAGAAAAAGAAAAATTTAGGCAAATCTGAGCAGTGAAGCTCAAAAGCTTATCTTGAGCATTTCTTCGAACCTCTCACTTTTTGAACGCACTCAAAATGAAATAGCTCAGTGGTGACTAAGCGTGACATGTTTGCTACTGAAATTCTCTGCATTCTCGGAATTTCTCAAGCTGCGTGTTAGCCCGGAGCTGAGCTTTGAAAAAGCCAATGAAAATCGGCTCTAGGTTTAGGAAGATAACTCTGCAACTTGTACCAAATAGTAAATGACAACTTTTGTCACCAAAAGTTGTCATTTATAAGCGAGGGTTTTGGTCGTAATATTTATTAAAGTACAAATAATACAATTTTCGAAATATTGCAGAATACGCAAAAATTTTATGGAATGGACCAGTGCATGCACCCTTACGACACACTCACAACCTATACAAATATTATCGCACAACCTACTTCAAGGAGCAGGTATGGCCTTCTCTCCTTTGTATACTACCAAAGGCTTACTGTCTGCATCAGCAGGATCAACGCGTTGTTCAATAGGGGAATTCCACGGTTGTACATCACCTGTAAATTTGTTCAACGTAGACTTAAAAAGATACAAAATCGAAAAAAAAACTTACCCGATCCCCAGATGCCGAATAACACAGCTGAGACCAAAGTCATGGCAGAATATACCAAAAGAATACCACGCCATTCCTCCGCACTTCCCTAAAAAGTGAAAATGCACCCGAGATAAATACAAGGATGACAGAATTGTAAAGCCAAGAATTCCGTTTATGACAGATTTCGGTATTAGCAGAATCTGCCCGAAACCCTTGAAGTTTATTCACTTTGAAAGGAGACAGCAACGTAAAAGCCAATGTCGACGTAAATTACCACAAAAAATCTAGTTTCTCACCATAATATCCCCATAGATTGTTTTTTGGTAATTCTTGAAAATAGGTATGAAAACTCACGATAGTTTTGAAATAGGTGATAATCTGAGGAGTTGCAACTCGACCAGCAAAGCCTGCAAGGTTTAACATAGAGAGGATGCATCTCGAAGGCTCACAGACTTGTTTCCAAAATTGGGAACACTCTAACATAAATTGAGTACTTTGGTCATGGTTATTAGATTGAATGTAGCACAAAAACACTGGACCATACATGCGGGAGAGAAAAAACTATACATCGGGAGAGAAAGACATCGAGTACCGTATCCAAAAATATAAAAAAGAGCTTTGGAAATTGCGAAAGGGAAAATTTTATTTGTGCAGGTTTCGGATAAGCTTCTGATTTTGAATTATGAACTGGGATGGGATATACTGAAACCACTTGTTCGAGAATTTCGTTGATTGTTTGAAGCACCCAGTTTGGTTTCGCATACACGAGTTGTTGTAACAGGCGTACATTTTAGTATACGAAATCAAAAATACTAATAAGAAATGGAACAATGAGTTGAGTTGCAATTTTCCATTGTAAACGCTCAATAATGCTACATTTTGAAACAATTTTGCCTTATTAGAACACTACACATCAGAAGCGTACTGAGGGAAGGGTGGGGCCCTTATATGAGAATGTGCCGCGAAATTTTTAAAAGTAACTTACAGGGTTATAAAAATCAAGTAACTTGTTTATACTTGCAAATGATTAGAGTAACTTGTGAAATTCTTAAAAATGAGAATTAGCCTCGTAAAGAAATTCTCGGGGCGTGGCTGTCTCTACTCGGGTTCATGGGCCCCCGAAAATTTGGGGAGCATCCCAGAATCTTCGGAGTGTGTGGCTAACGCCACGTCCCTCAAGAAAAGTTTTTGCCCGCCCTCGGAACGGAAATCCTGGGACTCTACTGCCATACATGTAGTACAAATATGTGCCTACCCACCTATTATCTGCGAGATGCTGCTAATGACTCCAATAAAGTTTGGAGAAAGTGACAAAAGGCTCGTCAGGAAGCCGCTGATGGAGAGGCCAAACGCTGCTCCGATAGTGGATAGCAAAACCAAAGCCAGAACATGCGTGGAGCAGTCGACTCCATAGGCTAGGAGGAGGAAGCAGAGTGAGAGTGTGAGCATTGCTAAAATTCAAGTTTTGATTTTATTGCATCAATGAAGTACATCATCCAAGAAGATTGGCTGATTCAACACTACGGAAAAGCTGATGTTATAGTAAATTGTGCTTCGAACTTTCTTTAGTCTGTCAGCAAATCACAGACTTTGAGCTTCCAACTTTCATTTTTCTTGTTGATTAAAGAAGATCGGTCGCAGTGATGGGGTGTCAAGATGAACCGAGTTCACGAAAATAAACTTACATAAGACTTGCGAGAGCTTCACTGTCTGAGTTGCTGTAAGTATCTTCTTTTGTTTGAGATGGTCCATCAAAAAACCCCATATCAGTTTCGAAATAAGGTTGAAGGTGTGTGGTAGTGCGGTATAGAAACCATTCTGAAATAGATCATTTGGAAAATTGAGCAAAACTATATATTGAGTTGAAACGGAAGTTTTATTTCATTAATGGCTACCAATAAACACTAACGAAAAGAGTAAACATCGTAATTCCTAGGGTTCCTAGCGGGTTTCTTAACGATACTTAATGCAAAAATAAAGATGAAAGAGTGAGATTATCTAAGTTTCGATGATGCTAAGCAAGCCCATTGGAATCTAGAAACCATGCAAGAAAACATAAATTAGTTGGTACTATAGGTTTAATAACCTCCTCTTTGACCATGAAAAGATTGTACTGGTCGAGTTTCATTATGAAATATTATGGCCTTCGAGAAGAATGCCAAAAGATCATTTTTTTCTTTTCTGCAGTTTTTGGCATTCTCGAAAACCATAACTTTGCAACGAAAACCTCAATTAGCACGAAATCTGCACTGTTAGAAGAGGCTCTAAAACCCAAAATATCAGCTAATATGGATTTTCAATCATGGTATTTGGGTCTTTAATGCGCTTGCTTAAAACCACCAAAGCTAGGAGGGATCTCATTCTTTCATTTTTATCTCTGTTGTCAATATTAATTAGGGAACCTAAGAGGAACTTGAAAAGTATAGTACTTACACTTGCCAGTATTAGTAAAAGCAATGCTACTGAATTAGAAAGAATTTTTTTAAGAAACGATTTTTTGCGATTTGAACGATTTTTTGAAAATGGTGTGAACGAACTTTCGCCTCAACCTAATATAATTCGCACATGGGTGAGATTTTTGCTATATAACAAGCTAAAATTAGTACCTGCTTGACTTCCAGCATAAGCACGTCTTTGAAATAAACTGGGATATAAACGAGGATCATGGCTATCATCATATTGCCTACTATACTTGAGTAAAATACTACGAGCAGCGGAGCAGACGTCAACATTGACCGCCATGGGAGAACCTAGAAAATTTTTTTATTCAGCAAAACTTCAGAAAGCTAAGACCAAACCTTCTTCATGCGCTTGGCTGCTTTCTCAGGGAGATGATGTTCCAAATATATTAATTCATGATCACTGATCCACTTGGTATTGGCTGGCGAATTGTTCACAGTGAGTTGCCATACAATACACCAAAGAAAACCCAGAACACCTATAAAATGTGCTTGTAAAGTGGTAGATACTTATTTTCTTTGATTTTCACCTGAGCTGTAAAAGACAGCTGGCCATTGCAATTTGCTGGCACAGAGCTCAGCAGCCACAGGATTGCCGATAATTCCTGTAAATAAGTTATTTGTTTTATTTTATTATTTCAATTTTACTTGGAAAGCTGTGCGTCAAGTCCATGGTCTTCCAAAAGAAATTGTGAAAATGCCTATCAAGCATAGCGATAATTTTGATGTCAAACCATTACTCAAGTCAATTTCTGTCAATTTGAAATGGGACATGAATTGATAGCACGATTGACCACATTCAAAATTTGACCATTTGAAGGCAAATAGTCTAGTTTGGCTCTATCTGAACTGGAGAATTCGAAATCTAAGTACTCCTCCCAGACAACGCTATCCGTGAGCAAAAAACTTTCTCGGCATTTTGCTCTCGTGATAAGGTTATTATCTGAGATGAATAACAATAATAAAAGATAACAATAATAAAAGAGCATGAAAACTTCAAACAGTGGTACGCAGTCAAAGTCTTGGTTACAAGTTTCTGGGCTCATAGGGACTTCTGTACTTCCGCTGCTCAGGATTTGACTTTGATTGATTTTGAATGTATTACTCCCTTTTCAAGTCATCTAATGTAAAATTCAGTGTTCGGACTAGCACTAAAACTTCTGGTCTCAAAACTTACCAGCTAACTGGTTGCCCGATGTAAACAATGATGCAGCCGTACTCTTCTCATGCGAAGGTATCCATCCAGTCAGCATGCCATTTATACCCGGTATCATCAGTCCCTACAAGTACATACTTCCTTTTTATTTGACATAGTCAGGCAACGCTTACCTCTCCCACTCCCATGATGAATCTCAATCCCATAACTCCAATAGGTCCAACTTGTTCAGCAAATAGAGGAATGAATACACTAGCAGAGGAAAGCAGCAACACAGAGATCATCAGGAGGTGCCTTATGCTATATTTGTCAATTGCCAAACCTCCGGGTAATGTGGAGAGCAATCCTCCTAAAACAAGAAAGTGGATCGTGATTATCAAAGAGAAGCAAAATTGATTATTAAGGCTCACCCAGAAAGGTGGCTCCAACAATGTAACCTTGAGTCTCAACGGACCACTCATAAGAGCCCTAAAATGCTGGTTTACCACTACTACCAATACAACTTGCAAAGATATCACTTACTCCATAATCATTCACTTTACCACCTATTTTTCGAGAGCATGTTGGTGTGGAGTTTGAGTCGACAGCAGGATTTTCATCGCTAGAATACCTAAAAATTCACAAATGATTTTTTCACTCCTGTGGCAATACTTTTATATTACTTCGAATTATTATTGTGGTCTTCAGCTAATGACAAAGCAGTCGAATTTATCATACAGCTTAGTGTTATTCCTGAACGTTGAGCGATAAGATTGTCGAGGTAAGCCTCTGGCTACAATGGAATAGTGAACAGAGAATGAAGTGCAAGAAAATTCATGCGGTGCTGAACTTCTGAAATTTCAAGACTTACCTATATTGGAGGTCATCACTGCCATAGAAAAGTAGCCGACCATAAGCAAAAGAATTACATGGAATCGTCTGCTACGATGATGTACGAAAGCTGTAATCATCAACAGCTGAATTTTTTGTGGGTCTGCTAGTTGTTGTAGTTCTGTGCTCGCTTGGAACACGTCATAAGCTATATCAATATAAAAATTAAAAATATGGAAAAAACCTACGATGATGCTTGACCTCGGGTGACATCTGGTTGTGCCTAGAACAGAACAAAGATATATGGCAAACATCGCAGAACTATGATTTGAGATTACATCGAAAGAATACAAATCAGCTTTTAGTTATGACCACAGAATTTTTTCTGTGAAATTATCTAGACTCTCTTTCGTAACGCGAGCCGAGAATAAATTTCGTAAGTGGAAGCGCTGTTTGCTCCGCATAAACTGGAAAACTGATAATTATAAGTTTTTGAGCGAGCCGCTTGGTCTTAATTTACTGATAGGATTGGAACTGCATGGACAAAACAGAGATCTACATCGTTCACAGTTAGAGGTTACCAGCTAAGAGCATATAATTCCTTCAGTGTTCCCTCAATATTAGCATCATGCACATTTTTGAAACTTCATGTCTAGCCTAATTAAGAAGTTAAGAATTGATTTTACACCAATGAAAAGGATTAGATAAATAGCGTATAATATACAAAAGGAGACAGCATTAGAGGTTATTTGTATAGAAAACTTCGTTAGGTCAGGTCAGTACACTTTGAGATAATGAAAGCATTAAAAAGTGAAGGAAAACGAAGTAGATCCTATCAAACGATTGGAACAAACTTCTCTGGAAATCTTTCAGCGTATCAAATTTTCGTTGCGAACTAACTAGTAAGGTAAATTATCCCATCATTATTGTTCTAGAAAAGCAAAAATTTGATAGAAATACTAAAGTGTTCGAAGTATACAAACATTTTCTCATGTTTAATGATTGTTATTTTTTGCACAAAAATCATAATTTTAGGATGTCAAACAGAAAATCTGAAAATTAACTTCATAAAGACCTCCAGTACAGACAAGTTTTTTTGTTGTTCATGGTTATACAACAGCAATGGCTGAAAAAATGTTTCGAGTATTTTTTATGTCGCTTGTACCGCCGGTATTTGCCGACAATTTTTTGCTTTGATTCCATCTGAAAAGCTGATCATTCTTCCTCTTCAACAAATCTAGAGCCAAAATGAATTCGTGGAACATGAGAGGCTATGGATTGTGAAGAAAAAAGTTGGTGCCATCTATGAGCCAATCTATATTTGCACTCTTATTGTCAGACTCTACGATAATCGCTCCTGACTTGAAGAGCATCCCTTATGTCCAAGAAAGAACTGAATTTTTTGCGAAGTACAAAATAAAGTACTCAACAGCTAAGGGATTTGCAAAAATCAGTAGGCTAATTTCGTTCATGAATGTCGCAGAGATTTTCAATAAGCCTTGCACAATTCAATTCAATTCATTCACAATTATTCATTAATGGAATTTACCACAAAGCAATGAGTGCTTCATTCAGCCACACCGAGTGCAGACGTCCCGCTCGTTAATTTCACCTTGCACAAAGTAACTGAAAATATGGCTCAACACTGAGTCCTATCAAAATTGGGAGATCGATTTATTTTATTACTGCTTACTACTCTCAAGTCCTGATATCTTTGTTGTTGCAAAAGTAATAACAGTATAAGGTTTTCATTCCGCAGTCTCGTAATACCAGTCGTTTTCCATATTACAAGGAAAGCCATTATGATCGCAAACCTAAATTTATTGTATGGAATTCTCTAACAAGGGAAGGATATTAGGTTGTCCGGAAATTAATGCAGGTTTTGATTTCCAACCGCAATAAGTCATATATTTCTTATTTTTGAATAGGTTCCAAGGTACTGTTCGATAGAGCAAAACAAGCTCTACAAGATGGCTATCTTGCTTCAGCAACAACTCTGATCCACCACGAGTTTTGAGCCAAAAACTAAAAAGATTCAACCGCCCGAAAAACTGAGAAAAAATCGTAACTTAGTTCGTAAAAATCATACGAAAATTCTAACTTGCTCACGTAAACACAATCCATATAAGGCATCTATATACGCCGTTGCCGTATTTTTTCTCTGTTAGAAATCAAGAAAACGGAAAATTTCGTGCATCCGCTAAAGTGGTGCTGCATCGTTCACACATGGGTAGTTGTATACTACAAATCTTCAGAAGTACAAACGTAAATTTTCAGCTCTCTACGAGCTTTAGTTCGCGAGAAATTTGAATTTTCGCTTGGACCACATGACTAGGGAAAACTGTATTCGATATTTCTCGAGAACTAAAGCTTGTAGAGAGCTGGAAATTTACGTTTGTACTTCTACAGGTTTGTAGTATACAACAACTTAAGTGGGAACGGCACAGCATAACTTTGGCAGAAGCATGAAAGTCTTCGTTTTCTTGGTTTCTAACCGAGAAAAAAAATACTGCAACGGCGTACATATTCGTTTTATGTGGACAGTGTTTACGTGAGCAAGTTAGAATTTTTCTAGGATTTTTACGAACTGAGTTACGATTTTTCTCAATTTTTCGGGCGGTTGAATCTTTTTAGTTTTTGGCTCAAAACTCGTGGTGGATCAGAGTTATTGCTGAAGCAAGATAGCCATCTTGTAGAGCTTGCTTTGCTCTATCGAACAGTACCTTGGAACCTATTTAGAGGTGAGAAGTGCATGATTTATTGCAGTTGAAATTCAAAACAGGCATTAATTTCCGGACAACCTAATACTTGGTCGAAGCGGGGTTTCCACGTGAAGTGTATATTGTTTTATAGAGCATGGAACGCTGATTCCAAATCTGCTTTCCTTGCCTGCAAAGCGCTTCTGGGAGGGGAGTTCTGGGAATTCCTTTGGTAAAAATTCAATGGTTTGGCCAAGGTACAGGTGTTGGTTTCCGGCGCTTGGAAGGAGTAATGACTGACATGAGCTTATTAGATTGAAGGCAGTATTGCATAAAACGCCCTGGTACTGATCATAGCCCCATTCGAGCTCATAGACTGCAGTTTGAATGCTTTTATGGTGTCGCTCCTCCGAATTTTTGCTCCAAGAAATTCCCATAACTTCCCTACCAGAAGCGCTTTGCAGATATGGAAAGCAGATTAGGAATCAGCGTCCTGAGCTCTATAAGACAGTATACATTTCATAATGAAACGCCACTTCGACCAAGTATCCGTCCCTTGTAAGATGATTCAAAGGATGATGGACTAAGAAAAACTCGCAAAAAGTCTCCGCATGATTTACCCTGCTAGAACAATACTTCATTCGGAAATGAAGCAAACATTCAACTATCAATCAACGCTTGGTTCAAATTTTGAAAAGGCTTTCCGCAACGATTCATAGCGAAAGTTTTTAGTTGGAGACTACTGAATTATAGAGCCGCATTTTTAGGCGTGCTCAGTCTCGATTTTTTTGGTGCTTGCTTTTCAAAGGAGGGAACAAAGTACCACGAACGCAATAAATGGTTCCATAAGCTCGGCTTACTGATTACGCCATAAAAGAATACTCATAGACTGGTTCTTCTTCAATCTTGATTGACGTCGGATTTCCAAATTCATTTTTTAACGAGATGAGTTCAAATATCAATGATATTCTCCTTGTTTTTCTTCGCAAGGTGAGATCATTCACAAAGTCTTCTAAGAGAATTGGTATTTTTCTGTAGGTCGAGATGGTGTTTGACGGATAATTACTCAAACATTTTCGAATTTTTCGAATCTAAAGAAAGCGATCAAATGCCAATCTGATAAAATTTTGTACCAGTCTTGTTTGCTAAAGGAAAGCAACCAGAAAGTTTTTTACCATTAGCTTGTGCGTGGGTGTTCACATCGTTCGCAATAATGAGAAATTTTCTATTTGCGCAAATGACAAAATTTTATGAAGAAGAGTACGATTTGCAGTGGAAAGAGCAAGAGAAAATACATGATTATCGTTTTCGGAATTTCGCTTTTAGGAGCTAGAAGGCCTAACGATGCAATGAAAAGAGGAAGAGAGGCTGTAGAGGTATGGCTTGTCTAATATTAGATAAAAAAATGTCGGAGCCTGCAGCTTTAAGAGAATGCAATAAAAACTCACATTCATATTTGCGCGATGGTTCGCAAAGATGTAACAATCTTTTCAGGTTTGCAAACATATGCCAGTGAAGAGCAAACTACCGAAATGCAACATCACAGACGTCGGAGAATGAGAATTATTAACAATCAGAAAGTTTGCATTCGAGACACTGCTTTCTACCAGATCAAGGTTGATGCTAGTGTAATAGTTCGCTAGAGGTACACTTATGATTTCAATAGGCATATCTATTAGGGTGCTCCAGAAGTAATCGAGCACCTAAAGATGGTTGTGATTTTTTTAAACAGAAATTCATTGAATATCCAAGTCTTGGCAGATGTACACATCAAAACTTGAGAGAGGTCTATGCATGAATACTGTCGCAACGGGTAGATTTTATAAGGGCTTAAACTCCAACCTCCTCACTTCGAGTGATTTCGTACTTTGAGTAGCATCAAAGCAGTAAACGAGTGAGGCTACCAAGAATATCCGTGGAGCAGGGAGTGACTGTCACCAAATCCACATCAAGATATATTAGGATGAACCGAAAGTTCTGCCGTTTCATTTTCAAAAAATTGTAACTTTGCGCTATTTCAACGGATTTGCTTACCTGTAATCTTAGTAGAAAGAATAACTATTTCGCTTTCAAATGCTGTTCTGTCAAGTTTCTGTTTCATACTAGATGCGGAGATAAAAATGGAAAACTAAGACCATGTAAGCTCTGACCATTTTAAGTTAGGTCGCCAAAAATCTGGACGCTGCAAAAAATCTGAAATCGTCAGTACATATGTTTCTTGGCCTACCCTTTGTATCTGTGAAAAGTCTGTGCTATTAGGACGTCTCTGTGAGAAGTTATGATTTTCACGAAAATTTATTAGGTTGGTGCAAAAGTTCTGTCGTTTCATTTTCAAAAATTCGTAACTTTGCGCTGTTTCAACGGATTTGCTTGCTTGTAATTTTATTAGAAAGATTTGGTCTTCCGCTTTCAATCGCTGTTTTGCAGAACTTCAGTTTCACACTAAGTGCAGAGATAAAAATGGAAAACTAGGACCATCTAAACTTTGAGCATTTTAAGTTAGGTCACCAAAAATCTGGAATGCTGCAGAAAAATTTGAAATCGTCAGTACATATGTTTTCTGGCCTATTCTTTGCAACTGTGAAGAATTT